GGTTTTTTTCTTCGTCAACGATTATCCATAGCGATTCACAAAGCTAATTATATCAGTTTCAATGGTAGCCTTCTAGCCAAAGAGCTATCATAGACAACGCTTACATCCCTTTTTCATTTTTGTTTCCCTGCGTCACACCATCTGCGTTCTTTTTTTTAATAGTATTATTATATATTTTTCAAACATTTTTAAATATATTAAAATTTATTATAATGAAAATTTAAATTATTATACCTTATATTGATAATAAACTATATAATTTTCATTATAAAAAAAAATTATATCTAAGATCATTTATTTTTATAAATAAAATCGAAATCCATTTTTATGTATATTTTTTTAATAATAATAAATAATTAATAAACATTCTGCCATATTGTTATTTTTTTGCGCATTCTGTTTATTATAGTGTGCGAAATTTTCTTCAGAATCTGTTTTTAGTGAAGTTGGTGATATTGACAGTTACTATCGCCGCAAGCTGACCTCTTATAAATTGGAAATATTGATATTTCTAAAAAGAAATCTTCGATATATTAATGTTAAATATTTATTTTAAATTTCATAATATAATTGTTTATTACTTATTATATATATAGATTAATGTTATTACTTATTGTATAAAAGTGAAATGTTATTACTTACTTATTATATAAAAGTGATTTAACAATAAAAATATTTTATTTTTATAGAATTGCAATTGAATTGAATATAAACTAAAACTGATCATTATAATATATTTAAATGACATAAGTTATGGTATAGTTAAATTATAGACGTTATACTAATAAAAAGTATATTAAAAATGAAAACCATTGGTATCTTTACAGAATACAAAAGTAGATATGATATCGGATCGGTAATCGACCGATATCAATTTAATATCGGGAATATCGGATCGGCCTCCAAAAAAGTGGTATCGATACATCCCTAAAAAATATATATCCATAATGATTTTAATTTATATTCAACCATCTTCTATAAAAAATTTTAATAACAATTATCTAAGAGCGACTTAAGTATAGGTATTATTGTGTTAATAATTATAAAATAAAAATGTATAATATACTTTAATATGTTTAATTAACAAAGTTTGTAGAGGAGTTTGTTGAACCTGTAATAACTTTTTTACTTGTGCAATTTTGACATTCAGCTTGTACCTTGTTCTTTTTCACATGAATTACTTTATAAAATTTTCCATCTAGAATTTTAAGATTCAGATTTGATTCAGGAGAACCTATCTCCATAATTTCATCTTCACTTATATGATTGTTAAACATTCTACAAATTAAAAAATATTACCTATAAAATATGTCCTTATCTTATTTAGTTTTGGTGTTGTTATTTTTAATCTATCAATCTTTGTGACCTGTAAAATTTCCAACTAATTTTGGTTATCAATATATTTAAAATAGAGCGGGAAAAAATAAAGAAAATAATACAAGATTTCACGAAGAAAATAAAGTTACATTGTGTGATATGTAAATGTTTTAAACATGAATATTAAAAAGAATCTGTATTTGTATCTTTTTAAAGAAAATGAAAAAGATACAAGATTCTTTTCAAAATAATGGATCTTAGATACAGATACTAGTATCTTCTTAAAAAAGTCAATAAGATACTTAGTACAAGATACAAAAGGATCTTGTATCTTAGATACAAGTATTCGCGGTACTGCCCAACTCTGCTCTTATCTTAAAATATAAAATTCTAAACCTAATAAGGAAATACTTAGCTAGGTTAAAATATTATATCTGAAAACGTAACGTAGGAATGTAAATAGTTTTATTCTTCCTTTTCCTCCAATTTAAATCTTATTTTTGGGGCCATTTCTATAAATGTTCACAAAATAAATCACCCTTATCTTATTTTGTTTCATTCGCATGACTTTTGCGCACAAATAAATATAAAATAATATTTAAGAATATATCTATAAACAAACATAAAATAATACTGAAAAATGTAAATGAATAGTGAATAATTCAAAAGTATCACTTTTTATCTCCAGATAAGACTTAATAATTTAGGCAAGTCATTTTTTTAAATTCTTAATTAAATTTATATTATTTTAATCATCCTACCTAGTTTTAAGGCTATCCATTTTGTCAGGCTGCACAATATGTCCTTTTATCTCTTATGAATATTTTGTCTAACTAACTGAAAAACATACAAAGTACATTTCTAATATTTAACTAAATTAATATAACAATTTTTAAGGATCCTACTTTTTTAAAAGCTTACCATTTTGTCAGATCCACCATTGCTCTATTATCCCTGCTGATTATTTTGTATAACGCACAAAAAAATATACATAGTACATTAATTTTATTATAAATAATTTGATATATGATTTTATATTTATTCCAAAAAATCGATTATTTTTTTATAATTTAAATAAATTTATATTATTTTAAGCATCCTACGTATTTTTAAGGCTATCCATTTTGTCGGGCCGCACAATATGCCCTTTTATCTCTGATGAATATTTTGACTAACTAACTGAAAAATATACAAAGTACATTTTTAATATTTAACTAAATTAATACAATTTTTAAGGATCCTACTTTTTTTAAAGTTTACCATTTTGTCGGATCCACCATTGCTCTATTACCCCTGCTAAATATTTTGTGTAATGCTCAAAAAAATATACATAGTACATTATTTTTATTATAAATATAGGATTTTTTATATTCTAAAAAATCAATATATATTACAATATTTATTTTTATTCAATTAAATTATATATTTATTCTTAAATCCTACCTTTTTTAACAATACTCCTTTTTATTCTTTCAATAAAAAATACTAAACGGAGTTATCTATTTTTAGGATTTTATATTTATTCCAAAAAAAATACATATTACGGTATTTATATATTATTTAAATTATTCTATACCTATTCACAAGGATCCTATTTTTTTTTAAGTTTGCCAATTGGTCTCTCCGAACGGTATTTTATTTTAATCCTACCTTATAAAATTAACTTGAGAATTATTTTTTTTTACTTTAGAAAACTATCCCCATCTTATTTCCTCTTTATAATTGTTCGAATATTGATATATCAGCCATTAATAATGAATAAAGCAAAATAAACCTTTAGAATATCATAATAGGCTTGATAAGTCCCCCCAAAAAATTTTTGGATGATAGCCTTCTAACTTTTAGAAATATGCATCTTGACCCATCTACTGGTTTACATTATTTTAATGTTTTTTAATTTCAACAATAGTTTATTTATATTTTTGCCTGATTTCTTTATTTGTCTAGGCTAACCCTAATCCCTCACATTGCTACAAAACATGATGAATCTATTATTAAAGATAAGCAAAGAAAATAATGACGATTAAACAAACGCCTTACCCGTTCTAGAGTTACTGGTAGCCAAAATAATAAAGTACGCTTGAAATGAACTCCTCTGGAGGTTTATTTTGTTTTTTTTATCTTATGTTTTATATCTATGATTATTTTATTTTCACCCATTTCTCCAAATGATATTTCTATCACCACTACCACAATCCCTATGCCACCTCTGCCTATTTTTAACAAATATAAGCATTCAATTCCGTACTATCAATCACTTCACTAGGAGTTAATATAAATATTACTTTATCCGATTCTCTGAGAAACTTTCATGAATATTTAGAGGAATGTTCAAACTTGAATGTACAGTACGGCCAATTTTATCATCTTTATTAATGGAAAAATATGCAGTAGTTCTGTCGTGGCCTTTATAACAATACTTACAACCGTTTTATGGTTGAGTTAACATTGTCGTTCATGATTCTATTTTAGACGGTGATACCAATGCTGACATTGACAGAAATATCGTTTTGCGTTCTTCTTTTACCAGTATACCAAGGCATAGGCATATCATCTTTATCAGAACGTAATGTGTTTTGTACACTGATTTGTTAATCCGTCATTACTTTCATCTACAACCCTAAATGATATAAAATTATACACTAATTATTTCCTCTCCAGACGACCGCCAAGATTTATTTTGTCGCTTTTTTCATCAAAAATTAAAATGTCAACAAGGATTTGCTCTTAATTATCAAATACATAATAATTAATCCTCATTATTTTTTAAAAAAATTATCTTAAATTTATATGTCATTAACCCTCTATTGCACGCTATATCAATTAAAGCGAAATATTTATAATACTCATTTTTTTTTTACTCTCTATATATATCTAAAGAAGGAAACGATATTTTTTCCCGAATTTTTTAAATATTTCTAAGTTTTTTGGAGTATGTTAACTAGAATACACAACGCACATATAAGGGTAAAATATTTTTATTTTAATCTTGTAAATTATATAATGTATAAAAATGATATACAAATGCAAAAAAATCAGTTTTTATGAAATATAGTAAAACAATTATTTGCTGGAGTAAAACATAATGATACCCCGCATTTGTCGCACGCTACTTTTGTAATCCCCTTACATCCTGGTAATTTGCACCTGACCTTTTTGTCATTATACTTAGGCCAATGTGCAAATTGGTCTTTCCGAATTTGGTAAACATTGTGCTGTACCTTTTTTACACTTTTTTATATATTCCGATTGCACCGATATTCGTTTATTACCCGTTACTGAATTAATGCTTTTATTTCCTTTGCACAATACTTCTGCAACTGATATTTTAAAAGTTAGGAGCGACTCCTGCTCTTTCCTGGGAATTTGTAACAGGTTACAATCTCTCCGGTACAATAGCCATGAATTAACAAGCATCATGTCAAATATATGAAAGGCTACTCGGTGATACCATTTTCGGGACCTGATATGAATTCTATATAATGCTAGTAGGGAATCTATAAGATCCACTCCACCCATGTTTTTATTATAATTTTTAACAATGGCTGGACATTTTACGTTAATGCTTTCCTTTTTTTTTCTATCGAATCGTTTCACGTCAGATATCGGGTGGGCCCCTATAAAGCTGCTCATTAGATAAACTGAACGATTGTCAAACCATTTGATTACAGATAATTCTTCCTTGATCACCGTTTTTTTTCAACAAAACTTCCTCTTCCTTTTTTTTTGATCTCTTGATCTGTCGGCAAAACACAATTTTTGAGGCGATTTGCCCTAACCGTTGATACACATTGTATTCCCCTTTGCGCTAATATAACCAGTAAGTTTATGCTAGAGAACCAATTGTCAAAGTATAACTTATAATTTTGATTCAATGGAACTGCGACAACCATGCGCAGAACTGAATTCCCACAAGCTCCTATATCTGGCATACCTTCGGCTTGGAGAATCTTCCCCATATACATTTCATAATTATAAACAATACCATCATTTCCACATAATAAAAAGAATTTAAAACCCCACTTTTTAGGCTTTTGGGGGTTGTATTGTTTCATCTTACTTTGTCCCTTGAAAGGAACAACTTGCTCATCGACGCATAGATTTTCTCCTAGTGTAATATCTTTTAAAATATTTGTTGTGATCGTCAGCATAGGTCGTATTTTATGAAGAGCATCATACCCTTCAGTCCCAAAAGGACATGCTTTCGTGTTGTCATTTATGTGAAAACATGATTTTATGAACTCCCACCTTTTTACTGACATAATGTTAGCTACATTAGCGATTCTAGTATTAGCCGTCCAATATAAACGAGCTCTTGGTAGATTTATAATGCTCATATAGAACAAAATACCTATGAATTGTTCTAATTCATCTAACAATAAATTAAGGGGTCTGCTTATATCTTTTTGAATAGAATATAGATTTGATTGTTGAACTATTGTAGGAAGTATATTTCCCAGTAAAAATTTGAAGTAGTATATCGGATTTTTAACTTTATTGGCGAAGGGTAAACTGCCTTTCCAATCTGGGGCTACTCGTGGGACATTAGTTAAAGAGGATTTCCATATATTTCGTCGTCCTGACAATCCATCATCAGGATGGCTTGAGTCAGAGTCATTGCTTTCAATATCCGAATAATCTGATTCAATTGCCCCTAAAAATATTTATTATAGCATAAGAAATACTAAATTTACCAGTATCACATGGTAAATATTCTTCATCAGACGAATCACTCAATTGAGAATCCTCACTATCTACCGGTATTCTATAATTTATATCACTAGTCATTGAGCTATAAATTTATTTGATAATATTTTCAATAAATATTTTATTATAACAAAAATCGTCTAAATGGGCAATGTTAACCTCAGTTAACATACCATATTATCAGAAATAAAAAATGTATTGTTATGTTAAAATTTATAAAAATATAATAATTATATAAAATGATATTATTTTTACTAGATTTAAAAATATTTATAGAATTCCACTAGAATTTAAATGATTTATAACGATTCAAAATACGATAAATAAATTTAAATTTTCAAGGTAGCCATTTTATAAAAAGCGAAAAATAAATGTATAATATTTGATAGAAAAATAATGTTAAGTTCATGATTGACGTCTTTATTATAAAATATATATGTTACTTAGAATATACAATGCGCGTTAGATCGTAAAATCAATTATAACAATATTTATAGCAAAATATTTAAGACGTTGCCTCAGGTTTACAAGGTGCAATAGAGGAAAAAAATATCTTAAAAAATATATAAATAATTTGCATTTCAATATTTTTAATGTTTAATGGCATTTTTGTAATGTAAATAGATAGCATTTTTTTTACTTAACATAAAAATATATATATCCCTTATCAAATTCTTTGACAAATAATTTCGGAAATGCAAGACATACATTAAATTTATCTGAAAAACAACAATAACCCTATATAATAAACAACAATTTATTTTTTAGATATAATTTTAATTGATCATATTACAAAAAAGTATAAGAGTCGGTTATTTTTATTTTATTTGTCATGATACTTTAATAAGTGGTTGCCCAGGCCTTCCCAGTTTCCCTTAATACGGAATTTACATGTTTTTTTTCCATATTAGACTAATTGGTAAATCAGATATTTCCCGTTCATGTTATGATATTAAAAATTTAACTATCTCCGAGGCGGGAAAAAATTTTCAAAATTATAATGATTAGGACTGGGTTTGGAACTTCAAAATTAATATTAGCTTGCACCTGACTTGGGAATATCTTTTACAAATTATTAAGGGTTGAGCTGGGCTTGATAAACTTTTTTAAAATTATAAGATCTTGAATGCTTACTAATATTGTGAGCTTAAATGACATCTATCGTAAAAAATAAAAATCCCATTCCCCGTCATTTTTGAAGGGCTTTCTACTAATGTTTATAATAATGGAAATATCATCACGGATATTATCCATCCTGCATTCAAATCAAATTGGGAATGGATAAAGAATGAAAATATGGAATTAAAATACAAATTAAAAGAGTATATTTTTTTTCCAAGATTAAGATATCCTTTAAGTTTAAGCCGTAATCGATGCTAAGATGATCTTTAATGCTTAAAAAATTGATTTAGCCTTTATAGAAATGTTTCTAAATATGCTAAAAATGGAGCCATTTATCATCACTACTTGTTGGTGGTGAAACTAATTTTATACTTATAACATGCGCGTAACCGATGGGGGGGGGAAATCTCTCCCCCCCCAATCAAAATTTTATAAGAATATCTATTTTCCAACATAAAACTTATTTTTTATAAATAAATTTTATTAAAATTTCCTTTCCTTGTGAGTACATATACATTATTCAAAAATATTAATAGAATGGAAAATTCTTTAGTCAAGGAGATTGAAATCAAACGGTAATTTTATTTAGTAGTATATATAATTATTTTATTAAATTCAAAATTATTAGTGAGTTAGAATTAATAAGTATTTTTAATAATATTTTAATTATTAATAAATATCTATAATTTTTTAAATATTTTCCATTTTTACTTCCTTTTTGTAGAACAGAAGAAATAGAAATACAAAAGTTAAAAAAGGCTGAGCATGAAATGTGTCGTCAGAAGCGATATCATTATTGAATTCAATTGATCAATTAGAGTTTATCTTTGCTCCTAATTGCATCAATAAATTATTTTCCTATAGCTCTCTACTTTGTAGAAATTTACAAAAACCAAATTTAAATTTGGTTAAGGTTATTGATTTGGCGGAAAATATATATGAACAGGTAGATACAATAAGAATGAATGTAGATGAATATTTTCATAATATTTATCTAGACGTTGAATCGAAGGCTAAATTTTATGATATAACACTAATTAAACATAGTCTAGCACCTAAATTATTGAGATGTAAAATAAATATTGGCTCAACTGAAGAAATAAAATATCCATTTTCATCCCATTCTTAGATACTTTTTTATCGCAAATAACGGTTTTTAGATAAAAAAACAAAGTTTTAGCAATCTTCAAGTTTTATTACCCAAAGATCCTTCTTTGTTTTCTAATGTCACTATTGGTAAAATTAAATAGTTAGCAAAATTTTATTCCTATGATATTGATAATAAAATAAATTTAATCAGTGAATTCGAATTGTGGTATAAATATTTACTACGTTTAGATATTTTACCTGAGCATGCTATTGATGCGCTTAATTGGTATAAAGAAACCTTGGCTCAATTTTCTAATATTTTGAAGTTGTTTTATATTCTTGCATGTTTGCCTATTACAACATGTAAGAATGAAAGGACTTTTTCCAACTTGAGAAGGCTGAAAACATATTTACGAACTATAACTTCCGAATCTCGGCGGGTTAGCTCTGTTAAATATCCACAGAGATTTGGTTCCAACGATGGCAACATTCCCACGAAAATTAAAAATTACATTATAATTATAGTATTTAATAAAAATTTTTGTATAATATTGTATTTGATAAGAAGTTAAAAAAAATTGTTTTTAAATTATTTTCTAGTCAATATTTTATACACATTACTATTAGTATTTTCAATTAAAAAATTATATTCTACTTATATTGTATGAGAATTTAAGCTGAAGCTAGTTTTTAAAGCAAATTTTATAAAAAAAGGACATTAAACTTTATTTCAACTTTACATTAAAAAAAAAACTTTATTAAATATAATATACCTAACTTAAAATAATAAAAAATAGGCTTGTAATATTCATCAGCACGAATTAGTAAATAATAGTTAAAAATAGAAAATATAATTAATATTAAATTATGAATAATTTAATAGAATAACTAAAACATAAGTCCCCGCCGAAGGCCGGGGAAAAGCTGGCCGAAGGCCCGGTAAGAGCGGTTTGGGAGAGAAACCCCCCAAAAATCCCCCCCCCCCATAAGAAAAAAGTATACGATGTGGTGACATACAAATTTCTATAAAAATATTGAGAGATAAAAATTCATACTTCTCTATCTTCTATGTGGCTAACAATAATAATAGAGAAACGGTAATTCAAATTCAAAATATTTGAAATAATATCAAAATATTTTGACGAGTAAAGGGGGGGGGTGGTATTACTCCTCGGTAAGGCCCCTCGCAATACACCTCTGATCATAATAGTTTGGCGCATCAAGATTGTTAAGAAATCTTTAAAATAAAATCATTTATAGCACAGATTTTTTTTTATATTGAAAGATCTGATTATGCTGAAGTTGTATTACAATCTATAAAGCACCTAGATTATGAATATAAAATAATTTTTCTGCGACCTTTTAAAATATGTTTATAGCATACAATTTTCATAAAAATTAAAAAATGATGACATGTTAATATGTGAATTTTGAATAAACTTATAATTTTAAATTAAATGACCTTTTCGTAAATTTTCTTTTACTTTTTATAAAATATAAGGACGAACTTGTCGAAATTCTTTTTTTATATAACCTTTTAAAAAACTTATTATTTCAATATGTAAAAAATGTAAAAAGAGTAAAAATTAAATTGTATATATATAGAGCACAAAATGTTAAATATTTAAGTGATAAAAAGTTAGTAATAAAAATAAAATAAAAATTTTGTATTTCTTTTTGAGCCTTCCATTAAAATTAAAAATTCTCTAAAATTAACACATTTACTTATGTAAAAATTAAAAAAAAATTTTTTAAATTTTTTTTAAACTAGTTATATGTATGCCATAGTTAGAGAAGACGACTAGGGGGGGGGGTAGGTCTTCAAAAAATTTTCTGCCGCCAAATATATTTTTAGTAGTTTATAAAAAACAAGAATATAGCTATAAACAATTGCTCCCTATTTAAACTAATGCTTCCTAGCTACGGGTATGCATATTCGGTTCAATTTTTCACTCTTATGAGATGAAAGCGTGAAAAGACGGACTCTGCCATGTACGTGCCTTGATATCCCCTATGTTTTAGTAATTATCGTTAAATAAAAATGCTCCCCTGAATAAAATGTATAATCATATATTTAGTTTTTTTGAGAATCCAGGTATAAGTGATATTGAATTTATTAGCTGTCAGAATTTTATTTAAGTCTACTTAATTAGATGAGACTGACTTAAGTGTAAACACCAAAAAAAGCACGATATAGATTTCCATTGCCGGTTATAACTGGATGGACTGGGGCTAAGTCTTACAGATATTGTCGTATGGCTCCCGAAATAAAATTCTGGAAATAAATTTGCTCTCCACCAATCACAAAATCTACCATCATGTTACATGTTCCAACGCATGATAGAAAAAATAGCACTCGTCTGATTTTAGAAAAAATAGCACTCGTCTGATTTTAGAAAAAATAGCACTCGTCTGATTTTAGAAAAAATCAGCTTATTAATCAAGATTCCAGTTGACTTCAATGGAACACATTCCCATCGATATTCATGTAAACAAGTTACAAGGTGATAATTTTGAAGAATCTCATTATATTAATTGTAATATAGATTGGTTACTTACTCGAAAAGTATGCAAAGATAATCCTGATAAGTTGTTGAATCTTAAAAAAAGTTTCAAACAACTTCAAACAAAATTTAAATCAGATGTTAAATTAAAAGATAGTTTTAGCATTTATTTGTGATATCTAGTATATTTTATTATAGCTTCTCTATATTATGATTGGAAATTATTTTTCAATAATCAAGAACCCAAAGAAACTAAAAATATGTTTGGAAAATTTAACTCTGATTATATGAATGTAAAATACTCTCATGTTATTATTTTATATAAAATATAGGAAATTAAATCATTATTAGATAGTTATGAAAAAGATAATCTATACATATGTAAGATATAGTAAAACAATTATACTTAATCTCAATTAAATAGATGAGATAGCAAGAATTATAGCTCAAAATTGTATATATGAAATTCCCTATCTAAAAAAAGAAATAAATAAAGCTCAGGAATTAAAACAAGTTAAGAAATAATGGAAAATATAAATTTTACACATTATATAGCAATACCTAAATAAAGAAATTGAATATGGTAGCAAAGTAACATCATATCAAACAGAATTTAAAGAAAAATGCAAAGATATAAATATCAAAGTAAAGGAATTTATGATAGTTATTTTTACAAAAAAACAATTTATATTAAAGGGTGAAAATATTAACTTAGAATTAAATCAATGCCTTGATAAGATTCCTTCAACACTTAATGAACTTTATACAAAAGTTTTAGATATAAAAAATGCTAACAATTATTACAAAGAATTTTCAGCAGCTTTAGATAGTTTCTCCACCATTGACAAAGATTCAAGTATTATCAAGTTTGAATAATGTCATTTCATAACATAAATTTATAAGAAAAAGCAGTAATCTGGGCAAACTCTAAATTGGGAAGTTTTTAAAATGATTTGTAAGATCAATGAATCAGTAGATGGTCCTTTAAATTAAACTTAAATATCATCATGTGGACTGAGTTTGGGTATGGCTTTTGACTAAACCTAGATTGTAAAAACAGCCCAAGTCAAAAAAATTATATGCCTTCTAAAAATATTTTTGGGTAGGGTTGAGCCCAGAGTTGCTAGGGCAAAAATATTAAAATCAGAGTTTACCTTGACCAGATATAGTTTCATTCTTATTCTGAATATTTTATTAAAATCCGGTTCTTAAAATTTATGTGGTCTTTTGGATTTTGGCTCTAATCTCTGTTAAAGCAATTAACAAAAAATTCTGAAATAAACAAGTTATAAATCTTCTAAAATGAATCACATGCATCATTTTAAAAGATTAGGTACAACCAGTTCTGGAATTGTTTACTAATAATTTTAAGATTGTTCTTGGTTTTTATAAATATTTAATAAAGAGAATTTTGATTCTGGTTCAAGTATTTATCTTGGTTTCAGGGGTTTAAACTCCAAAATCTGATAGAAATACCTGTAATACACTCTTAGTAGTTTTATAATAGACATGTGAATAAAAATACCTAAGAAGACTTCCCATTCTTGCGCACTCTAATTAAGAGCCTTGTTTGGTTTCTTTTAAATGATATATGCTATATTGGATTTGGACAATAATATGTATGTATCTAAATATTAGATATATCTTTTTATTTCATCTTCTAGTTGTGATATTACTCTTCCTATTTGAAGGATCATTAGAAATGCTCTTGATTCTTTTCCTAATATATTTGTGATAATCAAGTTTAAAATATATTATAAATATCTTCAGTATCTTATCTTCATTATCATTTGTTTCATCAGAAAATATCTATTTTGCTATTATTTAATTAAAAAGTTTTTCAAATAAAACTTATTTTTACATATTGTAACATTTTCTTAATCCAAAATATCAATCAGTATTGAATCACTTTTCCTTAGGAAAACTATTGATGTCTGTTCATTGAATTTCTATAGTTGATTTAAAAAAAAAAAATTATAACCCGATTAACAGCCTACAATAAATAAACCTAAACCTTCAAAAGTTTATGGGGAAACAGTGCCCAAATGTTTGCCAACCCGTTGCCCTCCTCCTTTAAAAAAATTTCTGCTACAACCCAATCTATATTATATATATCTGTTTATAATAAATTCAACTTATGGATATAATTAGTTTTGTAATGATTTTTGAATAAATTTTATGCTAATTCTTTTTATATTTTTACTTAGACAGAAAATTTTATTTTGCAATGCCCAATTTTTTTAATGGATTTAAAATAAAAAAATATTTTATTATATTATCAGAGAACGACTCCCCATAATAAACTCTATCATACATGGAAAACCCGAGATGCTGATACCCACCGAAAAATACAACCTATTATCTAATGGACATGTAATTTTTTCTATAACGTAAATTTTTTTTGCTAAAAATATTACTGGGAGAAAGCTAAAGTTATCCCAAGCTTGTATAAATTTTTTTTAACCAAAATTAACTTCCTCAGATAGCCCAGGAAGTGGATTAGGGTTTGACAAATATAGTTTGGGGTTAGGTTATATTAAGGTGTAAAATATTCATTAATATATTAATTTAAAAAAATAATAAAACACAAAAAACACCACCCACGGAGAGAGTATAATCAATCATACGCAGATATTTATGACCGGCCTCTCAATAATATTAAAATATATATCGTTTCTCGTGGTAATTTATTCAAGGAAATCAGTTGTGAGAATGTTTTGGCATTAATATATTCGCAATAGGATTTTAAACGGGAAATGCGTTTATGGTTAAAACATTTGCTTTAATTTTTATTGTGATATAATCCCTGAAACATATTCGCGGAACACATTCTCAGAAACATTGTAGGTAATTAATTTTTGGGGGAAAGTTTTGCTATATCAAAACATGTAACTCGTTTTATTTGCATATCAAATATAAAACAAATTTAAATTTGGTGATTAGCTTATGACAATTCATTATTTAAAAAAACATAATTAGAGGCCTGTACGAGCTATCCAGGCTCAATCTCGGACATTGAAGACTTTTTTCCTGATTTAGATCAAGCTGTGAGAGCTGTCTGTCCCGAATTTCTACCCGATGAATAAATATTCTCAATAATCATTTTGTTTCATAAACTTGTCAATCAGAATAACGTGTCATTTTTCATCTAAAGCATTTCAATTATTATTTTACAGGAGACAGCCCATTAAGAATGATGGGGAATGAAAATTTTATCCTTAATTTGATTATGGATATTACCGTTTTATTTGATATCCATACCAAATTTTATTATTTTTACCCCCTACCCCCCAAGACCTATTTTAACCCATTAAGACCAAAAAATATTTTAATTCGCTTTTAACTCATATCTACTTAGAGTGATATTTATCATTAATTATCTTTTTTGGTACCCATATCAAATTTTTACTTATTTACCCCACCCTCCAGAATTCAACCTATTGAGACTTAGGGAAAATACCTTCAGTAAAAATATTTAAATACCAATCAAAAAACACGATTCTCTGCTGATCCTTTTCAATTTTGATGAAAATTCGTATTTAAACAAAAATTCTTCTAATCTATAATTGGGCAAAATTTTAGCCTTTTGACTTTTATACTTTTGAAGATATTTTCGATCAAAGCGTGAAAAATTGCCTTTTTGCGAGTGTTTATTCATTAATTTAATATTTGATTAAAAATGAAACGATTATATCTTTGGAAAATATAAGTAAAAAATTAAATAATTACTTTTAAAAATTTCAAGTCCTCTTATTCCCAGAATGAATTTAAAATCCTGATAACGAAAATTGATGAGTAAGGCATTGGTATGCCTTTTAAAAATTAGGCACATGTTATATTTATATGCCATTTTAGTATGTTAAAAAATTTAAGAGATAGCTTTATGGGTAAAGGTTCAAAATCACCAAGTTCAGAAGTTGGTCTGCAGTCATAATTGATCCTTCTATATCATGGCATTGCTACCTGGATATCCTTTTTTTTTGGTAGACACAGTAAAGTAACTTCTCGTTTACCAAAATCTTCATTAGATAAGGCTGGGATACTTGCTGAAGGAAGAATTGGATAAGTGTACAGAGGAGAAGAAGAACAAATCAAATTTTTAATGTTCTATACAAATTTACTCATTAATATCTGTATAAATTAAATAAAATTATATGTATATTTTTATTATTTGAAATAATTATTTTGTATATATTTTTATTATTTAAGATAAAATTATTTTGTATATATTTTTATTATTTAAAATAAAATTATTTTATTAGCAATTTTTTTAAAATAAAATTATATACTATATAGCTTTATTAGTGACATATTCATATATATATATATTTCAATGAGCTTAAACGATATTAAAGGTAATTTTTTAAAATTATAATATCACTTAAAATATATATATATAAAATTTATTATAATTAAAATATATTTTGAATATAATATATAAAAATGTATAATATAGGTTTATGGTGTAAGATTATCTTAAGATACTATAAAAGTGATAATGAAAACAAAATTATTTTAAAATTTTTAACATAAAAATATTTAATAATAAAAATACTAAACAAAATTATATAAGTAATACCTAAAACTATATTAAAAGTAAATTCATTTTTATTAAAATATCACTAAAATTTTAAACAATTTAAAAAAAAAATAATTTATAATTATAATAATTTATATAAAGGATTATTGTATTAATAAAGGCATAATAAATATATTATATTTAGCAATAATTGACAAACCTTTAATAGATTGTTGCTTAAATAAATTTATTTTATGGGGAGATTTTTTTTAAAGATTTATTCGAATATATCTCTCCTTATCAAAAATAATATTATGAAGTAATGTACAAACTTTAATTGTATCTTCAGCTAACGATAATTTTGTATTCATAGGTCGATTAAAAATAATCCATTTAGCTGTTAAAATGCCAAATGTGCATTTCATTTGTATGCGTGAACAAGATATCCTGTAATTGTAGACCTCTTTTTGTGGTGTCAGATTGCCTGATAATATAATGAAAACAAATTATTATTTTGAAGAAAAAAATGTAAAAAAGTAAGGAAATGTAAAAATAAGGAATGAAAAGGATTCGTTCAATCTTAGAATAAGACCATACTGGAGCTTTCTAGATTTTGGAAACTGAGCGTTTGATAGTCATTATAAAAAAATATTTGTTATAAATTTTTTAATATACAAACGCTAACCTGTCAGTTTTGAATTAAAGTTTGAGCTGGAAAGATTTCCCGCTTTTGACCACTTTTGATCTCTTTTAATAATTAATTTATGCGAATCAAAAGGAAAAACAGCAATCCTCACAAAATGCCACTTTGGAAGATACGAAAGCTTCGGAAGGTGGCGGGGATTCTAACGAGGTATTCACCATCGAAGTCATTGATGAAGGAATAGGTAAGAGCAAATTTTGATTCTATCCTCCATTTTTTTCTCTTTCATTTTTCCATTCATTTATTCTTTCTGCCGTTTTTTTTCTCTAAATTTCCTGTTACTATTTACTTTCTCGGTAATTATCAATGCCCAATTTTTTTATAAGCGAGAACTGGAAAATTTATTTATTGTTAACTTCTCTTTTATGGCTCAGCAGATGAGAATACTAACATTTCTAAATTCCATAACGTCATGCGACAGATTATAAATAATATTTTACGTACAGACATTTCAACACCGGAAACGAATGAATCCGACCAAAATGAGTACAAACTCGAGAAGACAAGACAATTTTACGAAACTTTTCCACTCGGCAAAAAAGATTTTAGAAACGCTTTAATCGATGAATTGAGAGAGGTATTTTTAAATATTCTTTTATATTTTCAGGCACAATTTGTGCCAGAATTTTTACGCCCATGTTAAAGGTAAATGGGGCCAAGACAAAAGCCAAAACATTTTTAAAGTTACTTGAATATCAAAAAAAAATATGTATCATTTTTCTAATATTCATAATCTCCCCAAAAAACATTTAATAAATAAAATTACGCAACAATTTTTAACACAAATTTATTTATTAGCTGGAAGCCTTCCTGTCCCTAAGGCTGGTTCTCAACTCACAGGAAAGTACGTCCGCGAAAGATAACGATGACTTAGCCCTCTCCCTTTTTGTTCAATCGCAAAACCCTGTTTTTTCGGCGTTCGCCCACTTGCTGGAAAAGCACGAACAAATGGACAAACAACAAACTATCTCCGATTACTCACAAAGCGTAAAAGGGGCTTTGAATTTTGCATTAAATGATCCCAAAGTTTCCAACCTGCTGCTGCTCTTAAACGATAGAGAGTAATGATAAATATTTTTAGATTCATTATTTAACAAGAATTGTGTAATCGGTTATATCTAATTTTTTGATAAAGAATATTTATTAGAGCTTTTAAATGCTTAAATCTGATACCGACATGGCCTTGAAATGTTTTTTGTAAATTAAATTCTATTTTTTTATGATAAATATCTGCCCAAGTTTTTTTTTTACACAATGGATGAGGAAAATATGGTAAATGGTCGTAATAATTCTATCAAAACTTAATACTTTTGTCTAAAATTTGGTTAAACACATAGATAATTCGAATATCTAATCATTTTTTTTATAAATGTCTATTGAAATTTCAATAAATGAGTGATAAAAGGCTTACCGATAATATGGGTAAAACATGTCTTAAAAGTTTCATATAAAAAAAATAAATAAATATGATACTAATATAAAATAATTAATTAAATTCTTGTATTTGGTTAGGGCTCAGAACTAAAAAAAAGAAAATTAAAATCACTTGATCTCCATGAATTTTTAGTGGGTTTCCTTTTTAATATAACCTTGCCAAACTTACGAGGTTAATCTTAATTCAAATATTCCGACTCTAATAAAAAAAATTCTGGGGATTATATCTTTTATTATATTTTCATTTTTACAAAAGTTATGTCAAAAAACTTTGCGATATTTTGAATCGTAAGCTATCGCTATCGAAGAAAATGGAGGAAGCAAAATTGGAAGCTAGTTATAAACGGACAGAGGCTGAAGATACCTGTAAAGTGTTAGGCAAACAATTGGATCTTTGCTTCAAAACTAACAAAACCTTGAAACTTAAAGTTTATGATTTTAGAAAAAATATTTTATTTGATATATGTATTTATAAATTTCCCCAGTCTTTAAGGAATTACGGTTTCACATCCTTAACATTTTCGATAGCTCGTAAACATTTCCATAATATTCTGTTTTAAAAAATAAAAATATTGTATATTTTAACATTCAAATTTTTGTTTTAAAAAAACTCAAAATATAATTATATTTTAAGCTGGAAAAAGAAATTTCAGTCAGGTATCAAAACAGACCCGTCAACATTATAGGCATGGTCTTTTCTTGAAATCGATTGGGATATGAACATAGAAGCGAATTAATTTATTTAAAATAAGTATTTTTGATTTATTTTGTAAACCTAAAGTTATTATTTATAAATTGTTATCGTTTTTTTTATTGGGCGCAATATTTTTTTATATAAAAATTAATAAAATATTTTATTATTTATAAAAAGGATTTATAAAATTTAGTAGGATGAGCCATTTTATTAAATTATTCAAAAGATGGGGAAAAATTAATTTACAAACATACAGAGCCATGGACACTAGGCTAACTATTAACAGGTTTTGGTGAATAATTATTAAAAAATTTACTAATGTCATGATTCTAATCTTAGCTTTATGAAATTCTGGGCCTGCATATCGGAATGCTCATATATTGAAAATAAAAACCTGCATTAAAAATTATTCATAAAAAATATTTTAAATGGTAAAATTATAAATTGGAACCGTCAAAAATTTGCAAGGTCATTAAATCAAATTTCTATGTTCTAGTACATTCCCCTCTAACTTTTGTTTCCATTGTAATAAAATATCAATTTTAAAAATATTACTCTATTTTTTTTATATTGATTTGTAATTATTTAATAAAAAGAAAGTTTATTTATTATATGTGTCTTAAATATGATTAAAATAATATAAAAGTCAATGCAATATAATATTTTTTATTATTCTTGATCACTGTCAAAATTGAAGAGTATATCAAAAATAATTTTAATAAGCTTTTTCTTTCCCCTTTCTGATCTTTTGCCAGGGTTTTAATCCAAGAATTTGTAGATAATTTTCTTTCTTTCATTTTTTCTATTTCAAGTATTTGCTCAAATAGATCTAGTTTAAAATAATAAAAATATTTACAAATGCCCTTGATCTATATCCCTCTTTTTAATTAATTTTTTGCAAAATAAATTTTATCCTATACTAGTTGATGGTGATGCTAAATATATATAATATTATTTATATAAAATATGATTACAACCATTCCTTAAAATTGTAGCTTCACTACTTGTCTCTAGGCAGGGGATTTCAATGCCTATGTATTAATAAAATCTTAGCAAAAATTTGTATATTTACCATCTTCATATTGATAATTTTCATTACCATTCATTTGCTCAAACATTGTTCTAGCAATATTTGCTTCATCAATTTTAGATATAACAAGATTTGTTTTTTTTCAAATTGGTATACTGCTATAGTTTTTATGTTCCCTCATAAAGCAATCTCTTAGATTTATCCATGCTGATTTGGCCATCTCTACTGCAAAAGAAAAATATTTCAAATTAATATACTCTTTAATTACCTGTCTCAATATTGTTTTCAGCTGATGTTATCTGATGGGGTTGATCAAATCTTCTTTATTGATTTTAATATATATATATTATTATAACATTTATTATTTTAATAGCATTTCAAAAATTTACTTGAATATTTTCTTTTCGGCCATATTGTATTTATGTCTCTTTGAAAAAAGCAAAATGTTTTGTAACTTGATTTCTATGTTTAATGCGACAAATTTGGCGGGAATGTCGCGTCTCAAAATCTCACTATGAATAGTCATTGGTAATTAAATTACATATATTTGTATTTTGTCTGTCGCTGTCGCTCTCTACTGTGAATGCACCCTTAGTATATTTGTTTGTATTACGCTAAATTTTAGATGTATTTTTGTTTATTTTAATTTTATTTAACGCATATGCATTCCTTTGTGAAACATTTTTTTTAATACATCATTTATTTGGAAATAAGGTTAAGAAAATGATAAAATTAACTATTAACACATTTTTAAATTTATATTATATTTTGGTAGAAATATAAAAATAAATATATTTAAGGAAGATTAATTTCAAGGACATTGGTATTTTTACTATAAAATTATTATTTAGCGCGTTCCTTGTTTTAATTACTTATGATATCAATGTCAGTGTTCTTAGGGGCGGACTGGCTAAGCCTCGGCCTCGTTTTTCTAGCGGCCTCATGTGCCTCATATCTAGTGAAGGTTTACGGTCCAGCCGGTTTTAGACTGGATAAAAGGACCAACCGATTTTTTTGAGGACCAAAGTCTGGAGGTAACGAGTAAGGGTAACGCGTTCTTTTTTTTCAATGTAACGAGTAACGGTAACGCGTTCCTTTTTCGAGGTAACGTTTACAGCACTAATAAAAAGGCAACCTCATATTTTTATTAAAAAATTATTGCAAAACATAAATGCTCAATTTGTGTGCACTATAATACAGCTATTAAAAAATATAAAAATGACTAGGCTATCGGTTTGGCAAAAATTGCATTTGTCCATTTATTAATTAAGGCCTTAATTTAATCAGCAACATACAATTCAATTTTTTTTTTAATTAGAAAAGTTTATGTAATTTAACACATAATGAAAAAATATGAATATATCTGAAAACCAATCTTATTTTGGTAAAGTTTCAAGTAAGATTTTACCAATTTGGTGATTTTGGATAATATTAGCTAAAAAAGGGTAATTTTGAAAATAATTAAAAAAAAATTTTTTAGAGCCCCATGTGATTATAAAGGCTAATGACGCCTGGTTAACCATGCCTTAAAAATATTTTAACACTGGTTTTTGTAAATAAATGTGAATTCAGTCATTTTATATATTCGTTCCATCATGTTCATAAATTTAACTTGGGATATCTTTTGAAATTTAAAGTCTATCATCATTTCTAAGAGATGAATCCACGATATCAAACTTTGAAATCTCTAAAACTCTATTATTAGTACGAGATATGTTGAAAATTTATATAAACATAGCTGAAAAAATATCAATCAGAAGATGGGTTTATATGAAATTCAGAGGCGAAGTTATAAGGAAGGCTTTTTAACAGTAAGTTTGAAAGTTATATAAAGTTAACCTCCATTTATTTTGATAACAAAAAGTATAGCTCCATTAAAAATTTACAAATAATCTATATTATATTATCCCCCCCTCCTTCCTCTATCTCTGACCACTTAGATAGGAGTAATTAATTTATTTGTCAAAATTATTTTAAGGTAAATATCAAAGTTTAGAAAGTGAAATTCAGTTAGCTTACATTATAAATAATTATGATGACAAAAATATTATATTTCAGAATTTTGATTTTTATGAATATATGTTTTTTTAAAAACTGCCAAAATAAATTATGACATTTTTCACTTTAGATCTTAGAATAAACTGGGATACATCATTTTACCAAATAAACTTAAGTCCTCCACTAGAACATAACATAATTTTTTTTATCATGATAAGAGCATTTATAATATAAGTGAACAATAAGGGCATATTGGAACGAGCAAGGCTATGAGGAACATTAATGTTCGTCATAGAAGAGCGCTAATACTTATATCTATACAAGATTATATCTAGTACTTTGTTTCTTTTTTTTAACATTTTTTATCTAATATACTTTATTTTCAAGTGAATCTTTTTCATTTTCTTTACAAAAGAATCAAATATTTTTTTATATATTTTTGTTCAAAAAAAATTAAGCATTCACTTTTAACATTATTCTTTTCAATTGTAATTCCTTTAAAGAAATTTAGGAGAAAAACGATGAAAAATTAATATGAAACATGAGTCGAAAAGTTTATCTTGACCTCCCTTTTAACCCATTGTGCAGATGTATCTTCTTTATAAAGAATCCGTATTTTCTATCTAGATCATTTTTTTTAAGGAACTGATTAATTCTAAACAAGTTATACATAAACAAAAATTAAACGACTAATGTTTGTTTATTATATACAGGCCTTATAAACATTTATAATATACATACATTAATAAATCATAAAATAAGTTATTTTTTTATTTTCATTTATTTTTTAAGTAAAAACTAAAATCCTTGTGTTAAAATTATTCAATTTAAATTTTTCAATGCGCTCAAGCTTATTTTTTAACATACCCTGGCCTGGTACTTTCATCCACTTTTTTTGCTGTGGCGAAAATGTAAATATTAAAATAAATATTAGAAAAACCTATCATGTACATTATGTAAGAAGAACAGACTATCGTTTGGGATATCATTATGGATGTTTCTATGATATTTTGACAAAATCTTATTTTGTTAAACAAGTTCGATAGGGTTTATAAATGGGTCAGTTCTTCCTTTTGAGATTTTTTATAACGGTTCAGTTATGGTTAGGATTAAAAAAATTATAATGCTACATTTTGGTTTCACGATTTGGTTCGACACCTTGTTTTTCCCCAGCAATCATAATAAAAATAAACTTTCCACTCAAACCGACTGCAATTAAATAAATCCTTATTTGACTAGTGATATCTGGCATATTCAAAAAATGTTAGATTTATGGATGATTGAATGATTCGTTTTTATCACAAAACCTTTATCAAATTTGGATAGGAACTAATCTCCGTTTTGTCTAATTTCGAATTAAATTATTCATGTTATAAGTCTGCTACAGGCATGCGAGTTCGAGAACAAATAAAAAGAAATAACGTGGGATTAACGATTTATTTGGAATTTGGGGGAGGGTGACTTTTTATCATAGATTTTATTGGAGAGTTTCCTTTTGGAAAGTCTTTGCCTAGATACATTTATAAAAAAAATATATATGTTACTCATATTTTGGGGAGAGAAAAGCGTATAGTGTAGAGGAATAATTTTCGTTAGCATAAAATGATATTTAAGAAAACTTTAAAATTTTTAAATGGGGATGGGGAGTCAACTCGATCTATCTCTTGAATATGCAAAATGATGTATTTGTTTTCATCATCTCATCTCATTTTAATATTAATATTTAAATTTTTAATATTATAAGATATTATTCGTTAATTATTTAGAATGTTAACATATTAGATGTTATAATGTTTTTTAAACACATTTAAACCTCTTAAATATTATAAATTAATTAATGTAATATAACATCATTTAAATTTTTAAGAAAACTTGATTGATAAAAGATTAAAAGATACTTTTCCCAACATTAACCATAAACTTCTTTTTTTTCTAAATTCTGCCCTAAATATCCACAAATATTTAGAACACATATGGCATCAGGATAGCCATGGCATTGTCTTCCTTGGCAATAATCTTTACCAAGACAAGTTACTTCCTCAATTCCCTCTGGGCATCTATAATTCGGATCTATATTTATGTTTAAAAAAATATTAATGTGCACCTAAACAGCTTACTCTTATATTATTAAAGTTTGCTACAAGTCGGATTTTTTAGAAGGGCTTAAAATAGGTTTTAATCAAATATAATTTGAGCTTGAAGATACCTTTACGTTTTCCGCCTTCCTAGCAACACCCATTATTATATATATTGAATAATTACTATGATGGACTTTGATAGAATTGAATAAACCAATTTACAAGAAGAAGATTATGATTTAATTACAACCCCCCCCCCCTTCCCACACCCCCAGTTTTTTATAAATCATAAATAACTATTCTTTTAAATATTAAACATAAAATATTTGATAGTTTTTGACTTGTACTAAATTATTGATTAATATCAAATATTTATTCAGAATATTTCCAACAAACTAATGATTAAAATGCGATATCTCCTTAACTTAAGCTCGGGCTAATGAAAATTTGCTTATTTATTAATCTTATATCTGATACAAAAAAAAATTGAAAGAAAAAAAAATTGATTTTATGAACATTTTCGGTTTTCTATTTCCGATTTTTGACATTTAAAAGTAATTTAAATTGTAAAACTTTGAAGGTCAATCATTAGGCTCTATAAAAAAATTTAAATGACGAGTCTAGCTCAATTATATCCAAAGATATTTAAAATTAAAGGAAGAGCATTTTGCCCAAAATGTCTCTTTTTTGATATTTAAAGGCCCGTATCACAGCCGATGTTTGGAATTGGAGGCTAAAAATTTATTTTATTTATAATATATATAAACTTTTGTAAAAATTTTAGAGAAATCTGAGGTGGGCGGGTTGAGAATCGTTTTTGTGTCTGATTTGTCATGGAAATTCACCATATATTTTAAATTATTAAGAAATTAATGTTTTTTTATAGTTTTTTATTGAGACATTTATTTAATAGTAATTCATACTCTATATATACATTTAATATTTCCAACGTATTAAAAACTTGACAATATTTTATAGCCGCTAGTCCTAATAAATTTTTGAAAGTTAAGATAGTTTAAAATAACTCCTAGAATAATTCTAAAAAAACATAATTAATTACACCCCTCGCCTTCTCTCATAGCGAATTGATTAAAATTTTTATAGAATATAGTTTGAATATTATATTACATATCCTTTTATCCTTTATATAATGGAATTTTTAACAACACTGATTGAATCAACATAATTATTATAATAATAAAATTCGTTAATTATACGTTTTATTGTATGTTATAATAATATTTTTTTAAAACACATTTTAAAACTTAAAAATTGATTGTTCATAAATTAATAAATATACTATAAAGCATAAAATTCCTAATATAATTTAAATTTAAAAAAAACCAACTTGATTGATATAAAATTAAAAGAGATTTTTCCCATCATTAACAATCAACTTTTTTATTATTTATTCTAAATTCTGCCCTACAGTATCCACAACTATTTAGGTCACATATGGCATCGGGATAGCGATCGCATTTTTTTCCTTGACAGTAATCATAATGTAAACAAACTGATTCCTCAACTCCCTCTGGGCATGGATCTATATTTATGTTAAAAAAATAATAATTATGTCCACTTGAATGCTTACTCATATCATTTAAGTGTGTTACGAAGTCGGAATTTGAGAGCTTAAAAGAAGCTTTATTAAAATAGCAGACATACTTAAATTAAATTTTAGCAAGGCTGAGCTTGAAAATACCTATGCGTTTTCCGGCTTCCTAGCAACACCACTTATTATATCAATTTAATGAATAATTACCAGGAAAGGCTTTGATAGAATTGAATAAACCAATTAACAAAAAGAAGATTATGATTGAATTATACATCAATTTTAAAAATGTAAAGTATTTTGGAGAAAAATATATTTAATTACGAATAGAGTTAAGCATTATCTCATATAACAAAACTATATTTTTTACAGATTTGTGATTAATAGTTATTTTATTTTAATGAGTTAATTATATATTTTTAAAATTTGACATGACATATGTTTATGTAATATATGAAATCGAAAAAAAAACACCTAGAATTCCATTATCTTAACTTCTAATCTTATTATATTATAAAAAAGTTGTTTAATATTTTTTTAACATAGATTAATGTTTAAGTATGATTAAAATAAAAATATAATAGTATCATTTTATTTTGTTTTAACATCTGGTAAAAATATCCCCCCTTTCACTGTATAATGCATCCGTATGTTTTGGTGATATTTTTTTAATTCATAATTTGACAATGAATTAAAGATAAAATAAATTTAGTTATATAATTATATAATTTCTTCTAGATTATATATAACTACTTTTAGTTTAAAAAAAAAGTTAATTAAGATATGCATATATTTATAATGTATTTTTAGGAGGTGGTGTTGCTAAAATACACAGAATTCGATTATCTTAATTTCTAATCTTATCTTAAATGCATCCATTTTGGTAGTATAAAATTTTTTAATTCTTATATATTATTGGCAATGAATTAGAGATAAAATAAATTTAGTCATATATAATTTAATATATATTTTTTCTATAATATATACAGGGTTGGGCAGTATCCCAGATATTTGTATCTAAGAATGATATCTTGTATCTTTTTTTAAATTTTGGAAAAGTTCTTGCATCTAATATATAAATTCTTTAAAATATCTGCATGTTAATCAACTTTGTATTCAAAAAGTTATAGATACTTTAAAAATAATTTACATTTAATTTAAATGGTATTTAAGTTTAAATGTTATTATCTTAAATGTTGTTATCTTAAATGTTATTATCTTAAATGTAAAATTTAATCCGAGTTTATATATTTTAAAATAATGTGTTTTGACGTGGTTCATAATATAGCAATTTGCTATACTGCCATAATTTATCTGAATGTAATTTAGACTGCAGAGGATATCAAAGCAGTTTTAGGAAAGGAGAGGGAATAGCATGTTTGATAGCCTTACCAGCTTATTAGAATTTAAAAGTGAATTACTACAATTATGTGAAAAATTAGAATCTTCAAAACTAAAAGAAATTGAAATGCCCATTGGCTTTAGTGATTGACAAAATACAGGGCGAAATCAACTGCTTTTATGGAGAATCCGCGCGCCAATATTAAATGTCGTTAAAAAAATCACAAAATGAATTTAAACTGATCTGCATTTTTGGCAATTGCAGTAGAAAATTTTTTAAATTAGAGAAGAAAAATTTATATGAATTTGATAACTTTGAAACCGCATTTTTAGTCACTATCCTACTTTAAAAATCGTTGTAATGATTATGAAAAAGAAAAAAATATACCTTCAGGATTTATTAATACACGAAGTTATAATTATTTTTTAAATAAATATTGAAATTAATATGTGTCAGCAAATTCTTCAATTGATGAAGATGATGATTTTGTTTAAAAGTACCACATCCAATTCAAATAATTCAGTAAATGATATTAAATTAGAGGTCTTAAATTATATGAAAGATGACAGAAACACTAGATATATATGTTAAATAGTTAAAAATATATAAAAGAAATATTTATTTAATTTAACACAATATTTAAAAGACATCCAATTCAAATAAATCAGTAAATCATATTGAACTAGAGGTGTTAAATTATATGAAAGATGAGGTGCAATATAAATATGTAATTAAAAAAAATATAAAAGAAATATTTATTAAATTTAACACAATATTACCATCCTCTGCCCCTGTTGAGCGATTATTCAGCTTCGCTAATATGGTCAATAGACCAAATCGTCAAATGCTAAACGATAAATTGTTTGAAAAATTAATAATATTAAAAAATAGTGCATTATGATGTTGATTTATTGATATTTACTAATTAAATTTTTATTCTGACATTGTTTTCAGTATTATAATGTACAATTTTCATAAATATATCTTTGTATCATATTATCTTATATAAAAAATTTGTATTTTCGGTAATATATATCAGATACCAGCAGGCCCGGCTCTAAACCCGGCCCGGGGGCCGTATTTTAAACCTTTTAATTATACCCGAGCAGGGCCAAATTTTTTTTAGGGCCTCAAAATGTTTTTTAAAAAATAACCGGGCCAGACCATATATTTTAAAACCAAATATTTTAAATTGCCATTATTAGCTTTAAAAATTAAAAAATTTTGAAAAAAAATATCCAGGTCGTGTTATGCAAATGGGAACTCTGCATCATATGTTTTATAAATTTATATTATAGCATATTTTATTTAAAAATAAATCTCGATAATTTTAATTTTGATTATTTAACGTTTTTAAAAAACTATCTTGAATCTTAGATACTTTTTCAAAATAAAATATTTAAATATAATATCAAATATAGAATTTATAAAAATGAAATATTTTTACCTTAAAACTCTAAATAAAATATAAAATATTTTAGAGGATAATCAAATTTAAAAATTCATTTAAGTTACCGTAAAATATACATATAAAAAAATATAAAATATTTCTGAATTTTAACAGAGCTCATCCCACTTCCATGGAATCTTAAATGAACTATCAGTATTTTTACCATATGTGTTGTAAAGTTCATAGTGCTCAAAGGTAAAAGGAATAAGGCATAAGATTTAGTGTTATTGCGTTTAGAATGTCTTCGATTTCTGCCGCCAAATCTTTTGCAATGCAGAGAGTGACATGGTCTGCAATAAAAGGGCTTTTAGCTAGCTCGCCCTCGACCCGCCATAACTATTCATAAGATTTTAAACATTGGACAGATAAGCGGGCGCGTTAAAATATAATTTTAAAACAAGGGGCGGATAAATTTTAAATATTTTTCGAGCAAAATTGGCACTAGAGGTCTGCATTGGGCGGGTACCCGCCCATCCTATGTTTTAAAAAATTTATCCGCCCGCCCGCCCATTAGTCTAAATTTTTTTTTTAACCGGCCCGCCTATTTTCGAAAAATTTTTTGAATTATCTTTTAATTATATAAATTATTTTTTATTTTTTTAGATATATTTTCTTTATTCATAAATAAAATTTTAAAATAAAAATTAAATTAAAATATATTTTTTTATTAAAAATTATGTTATAAAAAATAAAATTTATATATTATATAATAAAATAAAATAAAATTAAAAAAAATAAATATTGTTATAGATCATTTAAACAATTATTTTTTAGTTTTTTTTGAACAAAAATTTTAAATTTCCTTAACCCGCCCGCCCATTGTTTAAATTTCTTAACCCGCCCGCCCAGCCCGCCCATAGTTTCAAATTTTTTTAACCCGCCTGCCCATTCTCGAAAAATTTTTTACCCGCCCATCCGCCCGCCCACTTAGATGGGCAGGCGTAGGCGGGCGGGCCGAAATCCCGCTCAATGCAGACCTCTAATGAGCACAACAGAATTATATTTATTAAAAATTATTTTTTTGTTTCTTAATATTCTATATTTTATAAGTTAAGTTAAAATACATTAAAATTATCATTAAACATTAGGCGGAAGAGATAAACATTATTTTTAGGGTGGGCGGGCTGGTGAAATTTAAAAAGGAAACTATGGGCGGGGGGCGAACGAGTTAAAATTTTAAAAACATTGGGCGGAAGGGCGTTTTTGGGTTAAACCCCGCCTAACTTCTAGTGACAACCTTTTGAGTCAACATGAGCCTGGCATATTGCACATAAATATGGCATGACCATATCGCAATAAAGCCTGAGTCTGATGGCAGGACGAACCCCCTCATTTGTAAGTAATAATCCATGATTGGCTTTAAGGAATTAATAATGAGTTATATTTTCAAGTCTTTCTTTTATATTCTAATTCATTTACTATGTCACATTAATATACCAAATTCTTTGTCTTATCAAAAATAAAACATGCATTAAAAATACACCAAAGAGAGGTGATTTATTGGTATGAAAGTGTGGTTAAAAACTCGATTCAACAGATATTTAATAGCCAATTCAAGATTTTAGTCAAACATATTACCTACACCTTATGGTTTACCCGAAAGATGGCAAAAAGGTTTGTCTATTTTAATCTTGAGGCTGGCGTAATATTAGTTTGTCTAAAACTTGATTGCCCTTTAAATAAATCTTTAAACAAAGGGTTTAAACAACACTAGTAAGAACTCGTTGCCTCAAAACTTTAATTTTAAATTCGATTGAGAGGGGAGGGTTTAAGAAGAGCGAATTATTAAGACAAATTATTAAAGGGAAGTGATAATGGTAAAAAAAAAACCAAATTAATTGAAGCAAGATTCTAAAAGATTTGACCACCAAATCTAGGCAAATACATAATAGATTGAAGGAGGGTGGAAAAGAAGTCTCCCGCAAAAATGCTATATATGATCTGAAATATTTTACAACAAATGAGGAGCAATATTACGACCTGAGCTAGTGATAAAATATCCCCAAAAAGTACAACCCTGCATTTTGAAAAATATCCTCACAAACCGAAAAATGAGGCGCTCATTTTAACAATTTTTATCTTCTTTTACGCCTCCTCCCCCCCCCCCCCCCACCTTCAAACGATGAACTAATCTATGTCAGTTTATGTATTTTTTATTGCACGAGATATTAAGTAATATTTTTAGAATATACATGTGTATTTTGTGGAATAACACAGTAAAAATTTGTTTTAGTAATTGGTAAAGTGATTCTGCAATTTATTGTTTACCACGCATGAATATTTTTAGGCATATCGCCTGAGGGAAATACAAATAACAAAAATGAAAAATATTCAGTTTGTAAAATTATTCGAGGAAAATAGTTAATATAATACACCCCCCCCCCATCCCATTATAAAGTGGTGGGGGGTTAACAAGGGGTGAAGCAAAAGGACTAAGGAAAAAAGTGAGGAGAAGTATATGTATAATAAACAAAGAAATCGGAAGCAAGAGTATAACAATACCAAAATTGAAGTAGAATAGGATATATGAATTGGGAGTAAAACGATAAATAAAACGGAGGGAGAAAAAAGGGAAGAAAGAAAAATGTAAGAAAAAGAAACGGAGGAAAGATAATGAAGACAAAAAACAAATGGTAAATAGATGAATTAAGAGCATGGATAAATGAAATTGAGAAAATAAGAAGCACATTTAAGATGGATTAACCTATAGAAGGAGAATAATAAAAGAAAAAATCAAAGGGGCTATAGGATAGTAGATATTATGGGCAAACAAAAGTTGATAGAAAAAGGAGTAGAACAAACAAAAACGACATAACAACGACTAGTGAGAAGGATTGACAAAGAAAATACGATAAAATAAGAAAGGAGAAGGAGAAGAGAAAAGGGAAGAACAGAGGTAAAAGATGGAAACTAGGAAAGGAGTAAAATAAGAGAAAAGGAAGAGATTTTTCATGTTGTAAGGAATTAATTAAATAAAATTATAAATTTAGTCGTTTAAAATTGCTAAGATTATAAGACATAACCTAAATGGTAAATTATGCTATCATTTAAATAAGTGATGAAAATGCGCCTCAAAGGCATTATATTTTTATATGTTCTTTTATTTAAAAAAAACACATAAACACTTTAATAAATTATCCTTATATACAAAAAAAGCATCAATTTTAACATTGATATGATTTAGAATATAATTATTCTCATTGAAGCCATAACAGATATGGTTATAAAGAAAATTAGAAAAGAGATTGAAGCAAGTTTTTTCAATTATAGTTGATGGTACATATGATGTTTCGAAATCAGAAGCAAAAGTTTTGTTAATATAAGAAGAAAATGGTAACACGACTGGTTTTGATAAAAAAAATTAATATGCAATCCTAATTCCATGAATCTAACCCTAGAATTCTTATTTGCATAATGGTTCTTTAAACATGAGTGGAAGGATCATAGAAGTACATTGATTTGAGCTGAGATCCCAAAGGCAGTTTTTATTTGGTGTTGGCAAAAATATTTATACCTCCAAGGCCTATACTCGTTCTTTAAGTGGAAAAGTTGACCTCTAGTAGGTAGCATAGATCCTTTGATTAGCTACCGATTGATATCTATATGGACATATCTACTCTTATAATGCCAATAAAAAATATAAAGCCATATGATGGAAAATAAATGCTATTTGATGAATATTGATATAATGATTATCAATTGAAGAATATTGGCCTAAAAAATAACATTCAACGAATATTTCTAAAAGAATACTATCGGCTTTATATTGACGTTTTTTAAGGATTTTTATATTCATTTTTTACAAAGTTATTTGAGACATTTATTTTGTAGCAATTTATATACCTATTATACACATATAATATTTATCATTAATTTATATTTGAATTTATGTATTAAAAAATTGACAGTATTTTATAGCTACTAGTCCTAATTAATTCCTGAAAATTAGATATTCTAAAATAACTCCTAGAATAATTCTAAAATAATTAATTACCCCTCCCCCCCCCCTCCATAGCGAATTCCCGCGTATGCGCCTGAATAACATTAAAGCTGAATATTATATCATATATCCCTTAAATAGGATCTCTAAATTTTAGATAAATAGATGGAGAAGTTTAACTTCTTCAAAGTTTCGACACTTTACAAATGTCCTTCCGTACGTGATAGCTAAACCTTTAAGTTGACTACTCATTTGCCGTTCCCTATGGCCAATTTTAATCAATGAGCATCAATTTAGAGAACGGTTTCATTGGTTTAGATGTTTTGGGGGCCAATTAAAAAAATAATAATAATTGAAGTTGGGAAAAGTCGGGAAAAGTCTTCAATTAGATAATGTAATTAACAAAATTTGCCAATATTATTATTTTAAAATATATTTTTTATATATATTCATATTTTTGATTTAAGTTATACATATTAATTTCTATCTTTTTTGGTATTATTACCGTTGGTGTCTTTAAACGGCTCGATTTGAACCGATTTTTAAAAATGGGCTAACTCAATATTTTATCCATGAAAATTTTACTCAATTTGGAGAATTGGCTAATAGATGTCCAAACCTTTGTGCCTTGTATGAGCAAAATCTTTAGTCTTGCTTAATATTTTTCTAGATAAAATATAGAGTTAGCCGTTTTTTAAAATCGAACCAAATCGATCCGTTTAACAACACTAGTTATAGAGATCGTAGTTTCAAGGGTATTGTTGTATAGTTACACGTTATTGATTCTTTACTTATTTTATTAAGATATTAGATAGCGTCGCGATTCTATCCTTATATACAAATAAATCAGTTATTTCTGAGTATCGTCTGTGCCTCAAAAATTAATTTATAAATATCGACATGGACTCGAATCCATGGACCAAAAATTTTTCTAAAACCAACTAGGTGGTTTTGTGCTAGTAGGTATGAATATAGAAAATCGAAAGGGGGACGCACGATTCCCTATATATATGAATATAAAAGTGAATCTTTTTTAATAAAATTGGTTGTTGTTTAACAAATTTCTATATAATGCCCCAATTTAAAGCCTGACCCTTATTAATCCTCCAATTTTCAGGCTCTGTTTTATCCTGATTTCTCTAAAAAAAATTATTTTTTGTCCCAGCTCGGGTTTTTTTTAGTAATTTTATTAACCCTGCCCCGATGATGCATTTTTTTAATTTATAAATTGATATTTTTTTTAAAAGAAAAGTAAAGGAATTCTAACCGATTCATGTATGATTTTCAAAATTTAAAAAATTTGTGATTTCCTCTTGAAAGATTTTTTTTAAAGAGTCACTTATAAAATATTTTTTAGGAAAAATTTTGGCATTATTAGGTAAAATTTGATCAATAATCTCACTTCTTTTTTAAAAAAAATATTTGCTCAAAATTTTTTGGAGATTTTTTTTTCAAACCTACTTTTTACGTCATTCATTTTTTGTGCTTTTCTGTAAATTTGCGTGATTTTGCAATGCTTACTTTTTGCGTATTTTGCTGTAATTTTTACCTTTTAGTCATATTTTTTTTGTAATAAAAAAATATTATGAAAAAATAATATTATTCTTTTTCTATTTTGCAAAATCCCGTTTCTAAAAATGTATTTTGGTACCGCTTTAGACCACGGCCTAGCCAACCTTTACCTCGAATCGACTCTGCATATACTTTGGCACGCCTTCCCATATTATTACTTATATTGCTAAATACATATCCATAATAATATTGTCAAATATGATTTAAACGTTTTAATAGGATAAGTCATTTCTACATTTTAATCTAGGCTAGTAAAATAAACGTTATACTTAATTTTTTTTTAAATATTATATTATATCTGCTGTATTCTACCTAAAAAATAGGTAATATTGATTTATCAGGCTTTAACTTAATTTATCAAATGTCAAGCGAAATTTTAAAATTTCTTAAAATCAGAACCAAATGAATAATATTTAAAGCAAAACATTCAAATTATTATTTTAAAATATAATTAATCATGGGAACCTGTAGTCTCTCCCTCCTTTTTGTAGAATAGTATTGTATTATATTTTGGTTATATTTTATAATAAAAAAATAATTAATAAATATAAAAATAAAAATATCATGAGCATGAGTGCCCGCGTGGGAGTATAGCAAACTCCCCTTCCACTATTGGGTTCTGATATTTTAACACCTTCAAAATAACATTTAAAATTTTTACACTATTATCAATAAAATTTTTATAAACTTTTCTCGGCTCAATTTACGTTGGATAAAATGATTTCAAATATTTATGCTTATATAATATCCAGAAATTAATTTCTATTAAAATGTTAAGACCTGGGGTAGGATTTAGCGGAGTGAATATTAACCCTCTTTAAGCAAGCATTTATTTTTAATAAAAGAAATCCAACTATATTTCTAACACCACCAGAGTTTAGCTAGAACAACGAACGACAATATGAAGGGTAACTTGTTTTTATATAAATTACATGAGAGTTATATAAAAAACTTTTTAAAACAAGAAATGAAACAAAATAAACCTAAATTTTCTGGGAAAAAAACACAAAAAATTTTTTATATAAATTTTAACGAAATAACAAATTGAGGGAACTATAAAATGATTATGATAATGAAAATCCAACTAAATTATGGTTAAAAATATATAAGGTGATTCTGATATTTAAAAGATATTATTTTAGATAAAGATTGATTGTATTAGTAATAAAAAACATTTAAAAAACAAGAAAAGCAGAATTTGTTTTTTTTCAGAAAAAATAGATTTTTTTATTCAGAATGATGTCTATTGTTATTTGATCAAGCAATCTTATTAAATCAATAGTTATCTAAGCCCAATGGAAAATTTTGAGAAGAATGTATAATTAGCTTAAATGATAATCAAATAAGATTCAAATTCCATTTGCACTTCCGTTTAAAAAAAATAAAAGCAAATACTGCATTTCCGTTTCAGGAAAACAAAAGAAAATACTGAAATATATCTATTGATTTAGTTCTGATTGCTAATCTAAAGAAACATATAATATTTACAATTGTGCTTACTCGCATATGGAAGGTAAGTATTTTTTCAAAATTGTTTTTGATTTAATATTTCAAGCTCCAACTCAGATCTAAAAATAAAAAAATTATAAAAATTACTAAGAATCACTGTGCAAATATGTATTTTAAAAGGTAAATATAAGAATATATAAATATGCTCAAAAAAAATAAGTTTTATTATTCTTAACCTTTTACTTTTAAATTTTACAATATTCCTACTCAATTATGACATCATCAGTTTCTCTCAGCAACATGTTCCTAGGCTTGATATGCCTTGCTATCGTTGACTTGAACTTTGGACTTATTATTCAAAAAGGTTTCTAAATATACATTATATTTATTTTAGCAACTAAATTTTTGAAAGTTAATTATATTATACTTATCATTGTATATATTAATAGTATTTTACAAGTGCAAAGTATTATCCTTAAAATATGTCATTTCAAATTAAGAATAATATTTTAAAAGTAATATATGATTAAATATTTCAAGTTTGGAAATATATGTACACCTGACATTATAAATTAAGATGTATATGATTTGTACCTTTAATCCTTCTAAATCGAAAAATAATTTTTTATGACCATTTAAATACGTAAATTATAAGAACGATTGAACATTATTAACTGTTCGTTTGCCTTCAAGTGAGCCAATTATCTTTTCAAAAATTGAAATATTAATCAATATGTGAATATACATTATATTTTTTAAATTTATTTATATATACCAAAATCTTATATTAGAAGCGAATATACTCGCACCCAATAGCACGTGCTTCCAAATGCAACACGAGTCCACTTTTGGGATAAGAAATTTAGAGCTCTCCATATATGATACCGCGATCAACAGTGCCTTCACTTACAATATAAAAGCAAAATTTATGGCTCCCTTGTGGCCGCTTCCTAATCATCCTATCATACTATATACCTATCAATTGTACGAATATGAAAGTGACGGAATCAACCTGGGCAATATGATAGAAGAAAAGAATATCCAATTAGAAGATGTTTATCAGGTTTTTTAGAAGAAAATTATTAATTTAACCATAACTTGTATTTTAATATTAAGCTTGCAACCATATCAAAAATTTAGAACCCCCCCCCCCCCTCCCACCTCTGCCACACCTTGAGTGATTATTACTTTTTCATCAATCTTTGTATGTTTATAAAATTGTAGAAAAAACAATTATGACTTTTCAACATCTAACCCCTCCCAAACAATGATTTCGCAGTAATTTTTTTTCATTTTATACCCCATATCAAATTTTTATGTAATGAAAAGTTTTCCCAAAAAAATTACCAAACACTCCCAAAACCTTTCGGCCCACTTAAAGCGTTTATTATTTTTTGTCAATGATTATAATTGAATTATTTTTTAAAAAAATAAATAGATAAACAACGAATTCCTTATCAGAAATTTAGAGAAGAGTGTGAAATACTTCTTAACGGTTTTCGTTTCATATCAACATCTTGAAATTTTGGGGCAGTATTCGGCTATGAACATATTCAAATGTATATATTTATAAATTCTAATTTTTACGATATTTTTATAATTACACATTTCTATCTTAAAAAGATATCCTTAAATTGAAATTAAGTTAAATTATTTAAGAAATTTTGGTTTAGGCTTTATCTTTTTCTATTATATTCTCGCTAGAATACCTTCATGATGTGGAATATACGGATTTAATTTTTTGAATCATAAAGAACTAATTTACAAGGATAAAAAAAATTGAGTATATAGGCGTATATTGTTAATAAAAAATGAAAGGTAAAAATTATTCAATTATTCTCTTTTGTAAGAATGAGAGTTAACAAGTTAAATTGAATAAATAAGTAAATAGATATCTATTATATTAAGTTTTTTTTATATATTTAAGCCTAAACTTTATATTTAAAGAAAATTATTTATATTTTTTTAAATTACAGATCAAGAGGTCGCAAAGATCAAAATTGGTATATTATAAATTTAAAAAAATTACATCTTTTATATTATGAAATTCCATATTGTGAAATTTTTTTCAAATTATTATTATTCAATTGAAAAGTCAATAGCATTATCTTTTTGTAGGTTACATAAACCTAAAGAATTGTATGAATAAGCCGTAACATTATGGCAATACAGTCAACTTATGGGGGTTTAATATAAATATGTTTTTTATGACAGATAATTTCTCGCTTGCTCCTAGGATAACTAACGCTGTAGTCAAATTATATTTGGAACCAAAGTATAATGGACAATTAGGTATATTCGTACTTTGGAGTATTCATCACTTGGAAAATACAGATGCATTTAAAAATATTGTTGGTTACCGCATTGAACTATTGCCTACCCGTCCAGACATGATCTCACATAAACAAGCACAATATCTAAACGATGTAAATGACAATTTTTTTTAGTTATGATATAAATTGAAACTAACATTTTTATTAAACTCAAAGTCACGGTTCGATTTAAATAAAAAAATTTCTGTCTATATGCCCGGATCTATTTTTCTTTCTTTTTAGCGGCATAGGTTACCACTTACGAGGTACCTCTCAGATTCTCAATTTTAATATCCCCTTATACTTGGTAATTGTTTCTCACTAACACTAATTAGCATATTGATACGACATTAAGTAAACACAAGGAATTCATGCATTTTTATTTAATTTTAATGATTCCACAAAAAAAAACAATTAAAGTATAATGCAAAAAAAGTTGCAATTTTTAATCCCATAAAATAAGAAGAAAAAAAATTGACCGCAGCATTATTTTAATGAATGACTTTTAATTTACATTAGTGTTAACTGCCTCGATTTGAGCCGATTTATATAAACGGCTATCTCAATATTTTATTCAAAAAAATATTACGCAAGTCTGAAGAGTTTGCTTTATAGATGGCACGAAGGTTTGAACGAAATCTCAAGGCTTAGGGGATATTTTTGTGGAGAAAATTATGTTAACCGTTTTTTAAAAAATTGGCGCAAATCGAGCCATTTAGCAACTAATATATATAGATTGATCTGAAGGCAAAAAAAAATTGATTGATTAGAAGCCATGATAATTTATCACTATTTTTGCTTATTTTAAATAAGAGAACTCATTGAGAGTCGCAAAAATATATGTATTCCAAATATTTCTTATATGAACCTCATACACAACATAAATTTATTACGAATAAAATATTTTTTAATACATTACATTATAGAAATCTGTGACAGCTTTCACATTTCCTAAAGTGACTCCCCATCTCGAATATAGAATATCTTTGGCCCTTATGTTCAAAGATGAACACAGGAATATATCTCTTACAGATCCTGCCGCGGATAATGTCTTCATAACTGTTGCTTGAATATTATAATATAATTAGATTTCTAAAGTGATTATTTTATCATATATTATTTATTTTTATTTGTAATTGTTTTTTCCTATAGTACATTCTCTTTTGAAATTGGAATGATTATAAATATTTTATGGATATTACTCATTTTTATTTGTAAATTATTTTTCTTTTATGGGAGATTTTGTTTTAAAAAATTAATATATTTTACAAAATAAATAAAAATATTTATCAGAATCATGATTGTAGACAATGCAAAATTAGGTCGGAAAATTTAATTTTTCGGGAGGTGAGAGAGGGAAGGGGTTTTTTAAAATTTAAGCCCCCTTCCACTGACTTCACTTAAGACTCGTTTAATAATGGATTAGATTAGAAAAATATAAGCTAAGATAATCATAAAAACAATTAGATGAGACCGGGGTAAGACGATTAATATTTTGCATTTTTACCATATAAATATGAAACATAAACAAAACTAAACAAATTAATATATCGCCAAATTCCTCGCCTACAAAATAAAAAGAAAGTGTAGCTCTCTACCTATAATACTTTAGGAACAATGATTAATTATGTGAAATGTGCGATTTTTGTCATTTACCCAATTCCCAGGAAAAAATGGCTAAGCATCAGAGTAAAGTGTATAGTAGGGTAATTACTATATTTTTAGCCGTTTAAGCCAATTATTACCCGGCTAAAATATTGGGTATACCCAGTTTTAAGCCGAAGTCTATCACCCTGAACTCGAGATTTTATTAATAATATAGCTACCATAATTCCAAAAAAAACTAATACTTTAAAACGCCTTATAGGTAACAGATTTTCTCCTGCACTCGACTTTAGACTGGAATTAGCCTACATTTAGCCATTACTCAACTTTAGTAAAGTGTAGTGTTTGCAGTGGTCCGAACTGGCCCAGTTTGGTCTCACCTGTCTTTTGATTCCGAAGGGATGGTCCGTTCCGTTAAGGCGGTCCGATGGTCCGGTTCGACCGAAAACCGATTAAGCAAGATAAAAATTTACTATGAATTGCTTTTTAGTTAATATACACGTACATGAACACATAAAACGTAAAACATGATTATTTAATGCTTAACACTTTATAATATCTCCTTCATCGTTTATTTTTTATATTCTTCCGTTTAATTCAATTCATTCGTCAAGTAATTTTATTAAGAAGGGTGGTAGTATATTATATTTTTATTTTTAGAAATGGAAATGGAAATTAAAATCATAGAAGTTGATAATATTATTGAACCACCACCCTCTTCAGGGGGTAAAAGAATGACTATTGATGTAAATTAAGAAAATCGATCAAATTCAAATTTGAAAGATGTTAAAGAATTATATAAGTTTTTTAAAAAGTATAATGGTGGGAAATGTAAAATATGTCTACTGATATTTTCCAATTCTTAAAGAACAAGTGAATTATGCATATGTATCAAAATGAGAGCGCAAAGAGGGGGAGAATAACCAGGGATAGGCTCATGGGAACTGGGACATCAGAGAAAGCTGAGAAAGATAATATAAATTAAATCCAAAGCTATTTACCTGATATTTTATATCAAATAATTCCAACATACTAGACTGATTGGAAGAGATCATAATAAATTTCCAATTCTAGCCAAAATAGCAATGGACTATCTCCCACAGCAGGTTACATCAGTTGCATGGGAACGGATTTTCTAAAGCTATGATAAAATAACAAAAAAGCGAAATAGAATAAATCCAAAGATAGTTCAATCTCTAATGACACTTGAATCATGGAAAAATGGAATAATTTTTTATTTTTAGAAGATAATTTGAATATTTATATATAAATCAGTTTTATTTCATAACCAAATCTATCGCATTATATATATATCAAAACAAAAAATTAATTAAATATCAAATCAAATTTTTTAAATTATATTCAATAAATTTGTATTGGTTTAATATTCTTTTGAAATATTAGGCATTTGTATTGTATAATATAATAAAATAAAAATGATTTGATGATATAATTAAAATATTGGTAATTTAACACTTTTCATTTTTAATAAATTTAGTGCAGAATAAAACTTTTATAGCTTAACAAAAAAAATATTTTTAGATGGAACTGGATTGGACCGACGATCCCCTGGTCTCACTTGATTTAACAGTCCATCGGCCCGGTTTCACTTTAGAAAAAAGGACCGGACTGTTGAAACACTAGTAAAGTGGTTAAAATAAAATTGAACACAATATTTTTTAATTTAATAAAATATTGCAATTTTGACATACAAAATAATCAATATAATTTATATCAAAAATAGCATATTTTGAGTGTGCCCATTTAGACACATTTTAAATTTTAAAATTTTATTCCAAATAACACAAATTATTTATTAAACTCACTTTTTGCTGGAAAATATATTTTTATATGGAGTATACGTTAATATTGAACTAGGGTGATATTTATAATTTTTGGGTAAAAGATGGTTGTTTGAAAAAATATGTCAAACTATGAAAGTTTATTAATATATGAACATTAGGTAAGAAATTAGTTATAAAGATGCATTTTGACATTAAATTTAATGTTTTATGCTTAAGGGTTAAAGATTTATTCGCGTTAACATGTTATCCCGTCAATCGTTTTAACCCGATCTCCCCTACGTAATAAATAGATAAAAATTTTACTTTATGATGATATAATCATACTTATTGATGTATTTTACATTAATATTAAAATAATTAATAGTTATATAATAACCTAAATATATGATAAACCGTCATATAAAAAACTATAAAATAAATGTGAATTAAATTAAACGGATATAACTGGCGGTATAGAAAAACCATAAAATAAATGTGAATTATAAAATATAAAGTGAATATAACCACTATATGAATCACTTAAATGACCCAAAATAGAAATTTGAATTTTTTGAGACTTTAAAATTTATATATATATAAAATTTAAATGTTGGAAATATAAATTCATACACAAAAAGTTTCTTAGGAATAATTGTATTTTGTATGTTATATATTTACATGTAAAATCTGTTATGTTCTATCTCCCCCCTTGTCCCGTATAACTTATTTCTTTTCTTTACGTTAAAATATTGCGAAAGTCTGAAGAGTTTGCTTATAGATGATATACGAAGGTTTGAACATTTTTTAATGAAATCTCGAGGCTTAGGCAATATTTTTCTGGGTATAATATTGATTTGATTGTTTTTAAAAAATTGGCTCAAATCGGGCCTTAATATATATAAACTGATCTGTGGGTAATATTAGGGGAAAAAGATTTGATCGATTAGAAGCCATGATAATTTTTCACTACGACAGTCGCAAAAATACATAGTAAAAAAAAATGTATTCCAAAATTTTCTTACTTGAACTTCAAATACAACAATAAATTTATTACAAATAAAATATTATTTAATACATTACATTATAGAAATCTGTGACAGCTTTCACATTTCCTAAAGTGACTCCCCATCTGGAATATAGAATATCTTTGGCCCTTATGTTCAAAGATGAACACAGAAATATATCTTTTACCAATCGTGTCGCGGATAATGTCTTCATAACCGTTGCTTGAATATTAAATCAATTCCAATTATAATATAATTAGATTTTTAAAGTGATTATTTAATCATATATTATTCATTTTTATTTGTAATTGTTTTTTCCTTTATAATAGATTTTGTTTTAAAATTGGAATAATTATATAGATTTTAAAGATATTATTTTATTTTTATTTGTAATTTGTTTTTCTTTCATGGTAGATTTTTAAAATTAATACACTATACAAAATAAATAGAAATATTTATCAGAATCATGAGATTCTAGACCAATCTAAAATTAGCAAAAAAATGTATAAATTACCTAATAGGTCTAAAAAAAATAATTTTTGGGGAAGTAAGAAAGGGAAGGGGTTCTCTGAAATTTAAACCCCCACTCTCCTGACACCACTTAAGACACGTTTAATAATGGGTTAAATTTAAAAAATATAAGCTAAGATAATTATAAAAGCAATTAAGGGAGACTAGGGTAAGACGATTGGTATATTGCATTTTTACCATATAAATATGAAACAAAAACAAAACCGCACAAATTATATTTATACATAGCCAAATTCCTCATCTACAAAATAAAAAAAAGGTGTAGCCTATTACCTTTATTATTTTAATAACAATGATCAATTATGTGAAATGTGCTATTTTTGTCATTTACCTAATTCCCAGGATAAAATGGCTAAGCATCAGAGTACAGTGTATAGTTGTGTAATTATTCTATTTATAGCCCTTTAAGCCATTTATTAATAGGCTAAAAAATTATCTAAACCTAGTTTTAAGCCTAAAACTATCACTCTGGGCTGGGGATTTTTTAAATAATATAGCAGCTCAAATTAGAAATAATCTAATATATATTGAAACGCTCTAATGGTAGAAGATTTTCTCCTGCACGTGACTATAGACTGAGCCGAATTAGCCTACATTTAGCCATTACTCAAATATAGTAAAGTGTAGTGTTTACAGTGGTTCGGTCCAGTTCTGTCTCATCTGACTATTGGGCCCGACGGGACGGTCGCTGAACCGAATTAGCTGACATTTAGCGATTACTAAACTATAGTAAATACAATTTTGACATATATTCATAACTATGAAATAATCATCAATAAAATATTGGAATATAAAATATTAAAAAATAGCATATTTTGAGTGTAGCCATTTAGACACATCGTAAATTTCATACGATTTTTTTAAAAATTTTATTTCAAATAACACAAACTCTTTATTAATCTCACTTATTGCTCGAAAATATATTTTATATGGTGTATAGGTTAGAACTAGAGGGTGATATTTATAATTTTTGGGTAAAAGATAATTTATTGGAAAAATATGTCAAACTATGAAAGTTTATCAATAGATGAACATAGATAAGAAATTAGTTATAAAAAATAGCTTTTCACACCAAATATAAAGTCTTTATGCCTATAGTTAAATTGTTATTCGCGCCAACATTGTAACCTCGTCAATCGCTCTACCCCGGTCTCCCCTACTTAATAATTAGATAACTTTTTACTTTAATGATGATGATGTTAAGCTTCTTGAAATATAAATTTTATTTCATACAATGAATGATTTGTACAATAATATTAAAATAATTAATCATTATAATAACCTAAACTATTAAATTATACACTATAACTTAACAGAGGTGCACACAGAATATTTGCTGGTAGGGGGCATTTATTTTTAGAAAAATTCAATTGATGTCGTGGATTTCTTGATTAAAAAAATAATTCGAATCTATTAAATTTTAGCTGTTTTATTAAAAACTAGGGTTATACGTTTTAAATTTATCAGTGTGATTAAAAATATTGAAATAATCATATAATATAAAAAAAATATGAATAACTATTGCAACCATTTGCCTATATCCCATGGTTAAGAAAAAACTATTTTATTTGGAACTGCATTGGTGTTTCTCAGTTTTCCTTCAATCATTAGATGCTATTATAGCATCTGAAAAAAATACAAAATATCATAATATCTTAAATTTTTATGACCTTCCCTTAGTTATTTATACAAAAAGTTTTTAGGTCATCAATATAATTACAAAATTCTAGGCTAAAAAGAGCAATTCTTTTATAAAAAAGATTCTACCATATATTTAAATTGTGGTATTCAATTTGAGTTTACAATGAGTCATTTGTTATTGATATACCATTCATGTTATTTCTTTTTAGATATATATCCATATTCGCACAATTTAAGTGAAAATTTAAAATTAAATATATGTATATATTTTTGTAAAAAAAGTGATAATTGATGGAAATTATTATGTTATAATAAAATATCCTTATTAATAATTAATTAACTAATTTTAACAATTATAAGGATTCATAATTAATTATAGATACAAAGTAATAATGTAATTAATTATAAATTCTATAATAACAAATCATGATAATTAACAATATAAATCTTGTATTAGGTGATCTAAAATTTTTTGGCAACATTTGGATGACTGGGGTAAAAATTTAAAAAATAGTAAAGATAAAATTTTTCAAATAAATAATATATATTTATTTAGATTTTAGAATCCTTAATGAATTTGTAGTTTAATGGTGTGTATATTCGATGTATTAAATTGCATTTTTAAAAAGAAATATAAATCTATGGTTAAATTGGTTGGTATTAAATTTTAAAAGATGTAAATTTCATTAAACCATTTTTCAAATATATATAGTAGCCTTAACATATATTTCTCTAATCTTTCGACTATCTTTCTAATCCTTTGCTATTTTCTTAAGTAATTTGATTAAAAAAGAGTCATATCTGGTTCAATCTATATATGTACAACAATATGTTTTCTGGACAATTAAATAGGTAGTCAAATTATAGAATAGTTTATTTTAAAAAAGTATCTCTATCTCAGCCAATATTGATCAATTTAACAAGATTATAATTATGAAGTATTCCACTATAGTTTATTGTAAATTAATGTAATTTTAATTAATAATTAGAAATTATATTAAATTCTTTTTTGGAAATTATATTTAATATATGATCAGCCTGAAACCACCTGAATAGGGGGGGGGCTGGGGGAGGAAAATTATTCTAAAAAATTTAGATTTAGATTAAAATGTGTTGAATTTAGGACATTTATTTTGTAATAATAATAATGAAGGTAAAATTGTGGATATATATAAAACATTAGGGGATTCTTTATTAGTGGAAAGTACAAATAGCAGTGAAAATAATAAAATTATTGATTTTTGTAATAAAATAATTTTGGGAAAATTAATTGATAAATTCTGCATCGTGCTTCTCAATTTTAGCAGCAATATATGCAGGCATTAAAGAGATGTCATTGTATGCACGATATATTCATATCATAAATAATAAAATTTAAGAAATATCTCAGCAATTTATTCCTATTTTAAGCATGACTGGGTCAACCTTAACTGATGTAGTATTTGAGAATCTTAGAAAATTCAAAATGATTAATCTGATAATGAAATAATTTTTTTTTTAAAATATAGATAAATATAATTGATCACGGACAAAGGCATGATCCTTGCAGCAATTTGGCAACTCAAAGGACTTCAGCCTTTTTGATAGATAAAAATATTAAACAGTCATTTAAAACATCTTATAACATGGAGAAATAAATTTCAAAAATCTTATTCATCAAGATTGCGCCTGAGCCAAATAATTTAAAAGCGGGGATCTGGTTCATTATGCAAACAGTTTGCATAGTTTTGTGGGCAGAGAGAAAGTGAAATTTTATTGTTTAACTTTTGAATTAATATGATTTATTAAATGTATAGTGTCAAAAGTTTGTGAGAATGTCTTCTCCCAGATCAATATGTGTATTATTAGTAAGGGGGGGGGGAAGTGTTGTGATTGATTGATGTTTTAGAATGTTTGTAAATTTTATTGTCGAGATATGATGCTTATAAGTGTCAATCAATTAATTACTAATATTCGATTATACATGATTGACTATATTTTTTCTTATTCTTGATATCAAAAATTAATTTTAATTGTTTACTTTAACTTATATTGATTAATGATGGGTTTGTAAGCCACCATGACAATCATTATTATTACTACTTTCATTATTATTTCTATGTATCAATTAATATTGTGCTTTTATAGAGTAAGAGTAGTGTTGTTAAATCATCCAACTTTGGCTAGCTCTAAAACGGCTTAGCCAGGTTTTATTCTAAAAAAATATTCTCTATCATTAAATTGAGGCTAAACCTAGACGTTTAAGTCAATTTTTTAATGGATAATTTTGACCATGCCAAATTGGATTTGGTTAAAGTTAGATAAATAAACTTCACTAAGTAAGAAGGGCCCATTATAAATGCGCTTACTAATATAGCAGATGGGCTTAGAGACATTTCTTCAAACTTAGGCAGATTATTGGACGTGGTACGACAACCAATTTTTTTTACATAAGAATGTATCAAATGTTTTGTGGAATATTCAAAAAACGATATAATTAAAACTATAAGAGTAGCCAGAAGCATTGTAATGGAATTTAAGGAAAATAGGGCATATATAGATAACGCACTTAATTCAGTGTTAATATAAGTTTAAATAAATAATTATGGTTGTTGTTTAGCAAGTTTGGATGTTACAGACATATCATCTTTAAGGCTTAATGTTTTGCAATCATTCATTAACATTTTTTTAAATTATATTGACCATATTTTTATATTTATTATGATTTCAGATCATCATACCAACAATAAAAAATTAAATACTATGCATAATGCCAAAAATCGCGATAACACAGATTATGAGACTATTTTTTTGAATAAAAAGATTATAACCCCAGAAGATGTGATGAAAATAAGGATGCCTACAAGAAGTATATTATATATAAATAAAATTATCATATATTTATAACAAATAGCAGAGAAAGATCTTAAATATAAATTTTTTTTTAATCCTAAAATATTTAAAATCTCTTCTTGCAGGCATTTTTTTGGTAATACATTAAAACAAAGACCATTAGGTGATTAATTAAACCAGTTAAGTGTTTAAAAGTACAAATACCTCACTTATGTAATAGAAGGAAAATAGTTTTTTTATAAACCATATTTTCATTTTTAAAAATCTAAAAATTATATAAAATAATAATCCAAAGAATTTTGAAAAAAATGTAAATGCCATTTTTGACTTGTGATTCTTTTTTTTCTTTCTAAAAAGGCAATTGGAAAAACGTAATTTAAAAATTATCTCTTTGTAGAGGCACTATTTTAAGTTAAGAACCCAAAACTAATAAAATACTAATTTATCAAAATTTAGAAAATATATATTTCAAATATTATTTCTTCAAATAAGTGAATATTATCTTGTGTATATAAATAATGATCTATAACTACAAGTGCAACTGCAATACTTATTTTAATGGTAGGAATTTTGTGAGAAAATATTATATTGCCTGTTCTCTTAAACATCATTTAAGCTAATAAAAAATTCCTATCACACCTTATCTTTCACCAAAAAATGAATTTGATATATTAGTATAGAAAGAATTTGTAAGAAAAATTATTAAAAGTTAATAACTTTTTAAAATAATGATTATAATTCAAAATTTTTTGAAAATTTAAAAAAATGAAAACCCAAATTCATTTTATAAAAATCTAATTAGCCAAAGGCTGACAATAAGTTGACCTTAAGTTCCAGTAAAATATATGGGTGGAAATCCTCACTTAATAGACCCTCCTTAAAAATCCTAGACATGTCTAAGATTTCTCTATACATTATTCCTGAACATTTTGCCTCATAACTTTAATAACAACATTGAATGGGGGGGGGGAGGCAATTACCTTATTGAGAACCCTTCAAAATATTAAGATTTTTTTTCTTTTGATATTATTGATAATTAATTTTATTTAGCTGCCATTTCCCATAATTAAAAGTTTTACTAATCCTTCCTTTATTAAATTTTAAAAACTTTTGGGCCTGAGAGTAGCCATTTATTTTATTTGGTATTAGTAATCCTCTGCAAATATAATAACATAATTACAGGGTTGGGCAGTATCGCGGATATTTGTATCTAAGATACAAGATACTTTTGTAAGATACTTTTGTATCTTGTATCTTTTTAAAAATTTTGGAAAGTATCTTGTATCCAGTATCTAAGATACATATTATTTAAAAGTATTTGTATCTTAACCAACTTTGTATTCAAAAAGATACAGATACTTTAAAAAAATTTATATTGGTTAATTTAAATAGTATTAAAATTTAAAATGTAAAATGAAAAATTTAATCAAAATTTAGATATTTTAAGATAATTTTTGATATATGACGTTGGTGGTCATATAGCAATTTGCTAACAATTTGAACTATCATATTTGAATCGTTTTATATCTGTCTATTTTAAAATTATGGAAGAAGAAAATAGAATAATATGTTTATTTTTGTCTTCAGATGATTCTTCAACCGAAAATTATAACAATAAATTTAAACTAAGCATACTTAATGGCAAATTTTTTGAAGTACTTCAAGATGATCATAATAAAGAAATTCATCGTGACTTTGGTATTGACGAAAAACTTATAGCAACTGTTACAGATAACGGCTCTAAGAAAGCTTTCAAGGAGTTTGGATATTCTATGAAAGCTGTAGAGAATGACTATGACATCAATGATGATGAATGTATAGAATTTGAAATCATTGAAAGTATTATTTAATACTTCTTTAAAATTTGTTATGATATTGTAAATTTAGTAAAAAATTTTATTCAAATAAAATTATTTATTTTTTTATTTAAGGGTCTAAAGAAGCCTCGATAACATTGCCTCAACACATTCGTTGTTTGTGGCATACGATAAGTCTAATTGCCACAACAGATGTTGAGAAAGCTATTAAGGATTCTCCTAACATTTCTAAAATTCATCATTCTGCAATAGCTAAATGTACTAAGCTATGGAATGCAAATAATAGGCCTTTTAGGAAAACAATTAGTTACACCTTGTTGCACTAGATGGAATAGTTTGTATGATAGTCTTCATAGATTATTAAAATTTAAAGGCGAACTTCCTAAATTATGTCAAAAATTAGAATTTCCTAAATTAAGAGATATTGAAATTCAATATTTAGAAGAATATTGCAATATAATGGCCCCATTGGCTATAGCGATTGACAAAATACAGAGTGAAATCAACTGCTATTATGGAGAATCAGCTCCAATTTTAAATGTCGTTAAAAAAAATTACAAATTTAATTCAAACCATTCTACAATTTTGCAAGCCATTAGCTATTGCCATAGAAAATTATTTAAATAAAAGATTTAAAAATATATATGATTTTGATAACAATTTTAAAAGTGCATTTTTGGCAACTATTTCTCATCCCTATTTTAAAAATCGTTGGATTGATGGTGAAAAAGAAAAAAATACCTTCAGGATTTGTTATTACATGAAGTTTTAATTGTTTTTAAAAATAATATTGAAATTAATACTTCAACAAAATCTTCAATTGATGAAGATGATGATACCCTTTGCCTTAAAAGTACCACATCCAATTCTAATAATTCAATAAATGATATTGAAATAGAGGTCCTAAATTATATGAAAGATGACAGGCGGAGTATAAATATGTTAAATAGTTATAAATATATAAAAGAAATATTTATTAAATATAACACAATATTACCCTCCTCAGCCCCCGTTGAAAGATTATTTAGCTTTGCTAATATGGTTAATAGACCAAATCGTCAAAGATTGAACGATAAATCATTTGAAAAATTAATAATATTAAAAAATAATGCTGATTTATTATTATTTACTAATTATATAATTATTAAATGGAATATCGCATTATCTTTTATAATAAATTTGTTATTTTCTACAATTTATTTTAAATATTTTTTTATAAATTTATATTATAAATAAGAAAATAAAGGTTTATACATTTTGATTTTTACTATTTAAAGTTTTAAAAAAAAGTATCTTGTATCTTAGATACTTTTTTTTAAAAAAAATACAAGTATCTTGTAGCTTATATCTTATTGAAATTTTTCTAAAGTATCTTGTATCTTAAATACAAAATTTTATAAAGTATCTGTATCCGAATACAATTTTCTGAAAATTTGCCCAACCCTGCATAATTATACTTTTTCATATTATAGCTATTAATGACTGATGGTGATATCAATTTTCTTGTTATTATATTTACTATTTATTAGGAAAAATATCCAACATTTCTTCCACCCCCCATTATAAGGAGTCAAACCTGTTTAAATTGAATCTTTAAAAATTTGAATAATTCTCTAATTTGACCAAAATTTTGAATCCCAATCAAATTTCTATTAACTACTATTTGGAAATACCTTGATATAAATAAATGCGAGATTGTGTAACACCTCTATAAAGTAGGAATTTCTTGTGTTTTGTTGCATTCATTCATTTATAGTATAAAATTTTATCATTTTTTTTAAAAACTGTTTATAATAAAAAAAATTAATGTTGATCAAAAAAATACTAGGTTATTAGGTTTCTAAATCATCATACTCGAAGAGAATATGCTAAAAAGATTTAATATTTCTTAGAGAACTATTCACAATATTCATAAATCCAAAGAAAACATTATCAATTGCTGCAAATAAAACATTATATTAAATAAACAAACAAAGATAACATATTATTTTATATTGCTATTTTTTATACAAACATTTATAATCATTTTTTATTCAGGACTTTGGTGAATTAAAATAATAAATTACTTGAAAATGGTTGAACATATAATCAGTTTTTGGCTAAACTAAGAATATTACAGATGGTAAAATATTATTTTTAAAAGAAAAATAGGTAAAAAGTCTTGATAATTTGCTGGCAACTGTCTAAGTTGGGCAAAATCGTGGTCCCAATGATTCTCAAATTATTCAAGTTTGACAATATTTAGGCCAAGATAAAATTAAAATATTTAAAGTGGAAAAATATTAAAGCCCTTTTTTCATATTTATTGAATTTTATAGATCAATTTAAAAAAAAAATCTATTAGGATTAATTATCATCTTTGGGTATGCCACTAATATCGGTTAAAATTTGGACTGTGTCGATATTACATTTAGCGTTTTCAGAAAATATATCGAGTCGATACTTTTAAGGATCTGATCCGATATTTTTATTTCTTTGAATATTTCATAATTATATATTTGAAAAAAGGATTTAAAATTACATTTATATTCTAATTTTAAAAAAAATGGTTAAAAATTGAACACTAACATATCTTACATGTCACATTCAGCCAGAGTTGTTAAACGGCTCGATTTAGACAATTTTTAAAAATCTTTAACTCAAGATTTTGGCCAAAAATTTTTATGCTTATTCATTTTGCTTCACAGAGGGCAGAAAGGTATAGACCTCCATTGGGTAAATTTCGAAGCTTGGATAGTATTATTTTTGTTTTTAAAAATAGACTAAATAGTAGTGTTGTTAAACGGCTCGTTTTGAGCCGTTTTTTAAAAACGGCTAACTCAATATTCCATCCAGAAAAATATTACGCAAGTCTGGAGATTTTGCTCATAGAAGGAACAAAAATCTAGACATATATTAACGAAATCTCGATGCTTAGGCATAATTTTTCTGGCTAAAATATTGAGTTAGCCGTTTTAAATCGGCTCAAAATGAGCCATTTAACAACACTACTAAATAGAGCTATTTAATAACACTACATTCACCCATAAAAATGCAATATTTAAAATGAGATTATTAACTTTTGGAGGATATGAAAAACAAAATTCCCTTAATCATCCTTAAAAGCTAATTATTTTTTTTTTAAATAAAAATATTGATATTTTTATTACATAAACATCAAAATATCTGATCGGTGAAAAATTTGTAGATCGGCACTGCC